GGAAATGTTCATCCTGGAGTTCAGTTGCTAGTGGTGCACCTCAAGGATCTGTTTTGGGACCACTGCTGTTTGTCATTTTTATAAATGACCTGGATGAGGGCGTAGAAGGATGGGTTAGTAAATTTGCGGATGACACCAAAGTCGGTGGAGTTGTGGACAGTGCGGAAGGATGTTGCAGGTTACAGAGGGACATAGATAAGCTGCAGAGCTGGGCTGAGAGGTGGCAAATGGAGTTTAATGCGGAAAAGTGTGAGGTGATTCACTTTGGAAGGAGTAACAGGAATACAGAGTACTGGGCTAATGGTAAGATTCTTGGTAGTGTGGATGAGCAGAAAGATCTCAGTGTCCATGTGCATAGATCACTGAAAGTTGCCACCCAGGTTGATAGCGTTGTTAAGAAGGCGTACAGTATGTTAGGTTTTATTGGTAGAGGGATTGAGTTTCGGAGCCATGAGGTCATGTTGCAGCTGTACAAAACTCTGGTGCGGCCACACTTGGAGTATTGCGTACAGTTCTGGTCACCGCATTATAGGAAGGATGTGGAAGCATTGGAAAGGGTGCAGAGGAGATTTACCAGGATGTTGCCTGGTATGGAAGGAAGGTCTTATGAGGAAAGGCTGAGGGACTTGAGGCTGTTTTCGTTAGAGAGAAGAAGGTTAAGAGGTGACTTAATAGAGACATACAAGATGATCAGAGGATTAGATAGGGTGGACAGTGAGAGCCTTTTTCCTCGGATGGTGATGGCTAGCACGAGGGGACATAGCTTTAAATTGAGGGTTGATAGATATGGGACAGATGTCAGAGGTAGGTTCTTTACTCAGAGCAGTAAGGGCGTGGAATGCCCTGCCTGCAACAGTAGTAGACTCGCCAACTTTAAGGGCATTTGAATGGTCATTGGATAAACATATGGATGATATTGGAATAGTGTAGGTTAGATGGGCTTCAGATTGGTTTCACAGGTCGGCGCAGCAAAGAGGGCCGAAGAGCCTGTACTGCGCTGTAATGTTCTCTGTTCTAAGTTTCTGACCAGGAACAAAAACAAAGTTGCTGGAAAAGCTCAGCAGGTCTGGCAGCATCTGTGAAGGAGAAAACAGAGTTAACATTTCGAGTCCGGTGACCCTTCCTCAGAACTGATGGTGGCTGGGAAAATGTCAGTTTATATGCAGAAAATAGGGAGGTGGGTGGGGTCGGGAGTAAACGATAGGATAGAGCCCAAAGAGAGAGAAAGACAGTTGGACAGACAAAGGAGTTGCTAACGATCAGGCTGGGAGGGTGAATAGTTGTTAATGGGGACTGTTAGTGACTAACAACAGTGGGTGTGTAATGGCAGGCTATGTGGTAACAAAGCCTGGTGTGTGAGAAGGGGGGCTGGGATATGGGAGAGTTTAGGCCCTAAAATTATTGAACTCAATATTGAGTCCGGATGTCTGTACAGTCCCCAAGCGGAAAATGAGGTGTTGTTCCTCCAGCTTGCGTTGAGCTTTGCTGGAACACTGTAGCAAGCCAGAGACAGAGATGTTGGCCAGGGAGCAGGTTGGTGCATTGAAATGGCAGGGAACGGGTAGTTCAGGATCTTTTTTACGAGTAGAACGTAAATGTTCTGCGAAGCGGTCGCCAAGTCTACGCTTCGTTTCCCCAATGTAGAGGAGATCACATTGTGAGCAGCGAATGCAGTAGACTAGATTCTGGGAAGTGCAGTGAAGTGTTGCTTCACCTCGAAGGTATGTTTGGGCCCTTGGATACTGAGGAGGGAGGAGGTAAATGAGCAGGTGTTGCACCTTCGCCGGTTACAGGGGAAGGTGCCGTAGGGCTGTGGGGTGGTGTTGGGGATGAAGGAAATGTGGACCAGGGTGTCCCGGAGGGAACAGTCCCTGTGGAAGGCGGACAAGGGAGCGGAAGGGAAAATGTGTCTGGTGGTGGCATCTTGCTGGCGGTGGCGGAAATGGCGTTTGATGATCTTCTGGATGTGGATGCTGGTGGGATGGTAGGTGAGGATAAGGGGAACCCTATCGCTGTTGCGGGACGGAGGAGAAGCGGTGAGGGCGGAAGTGCGGGAGATGGGTCGGACCTGGTTGAGGGCCCTGTTGACAATGGAGCTGGGGAAACCTCGGTTGAGGAAGAAGGTGGACATTTCGGAGGCTCTCTTGTCGAAGTTGCCCTCATCTGAACATATGCGAGACGGAGGAACTGAGAGAATGGGATGAAGTCTTTACAGGAAGTGGGGTGTGAGGATGTATAGTCCAGGTAGCTGTGGGAGTCAGTGGGTTTGTAATGGATATTAGTGGCCAGTCTATCCCCAGAAATGGAAACAGAAATGTCGAGGAAGGAAAGGGAGGAGTCAGAGATAGACCAGGTGAAAGTGAGGGCAGGGTGGAAATTGGAGGCGAAATTGATGAAGTTTTCCAATTCCAGAAGAGACAGGGAAGCAGCACCAACAATATCATCGATGTATCGGAGAAAGAGTTGTGGGTGGGGGCCGGAATAGGACTGGTACAAGGAATGCTCCACATAACCCACGAAGAGACAGGCATAACTAGGGCCCATGTGGGTACCCATGGCAACCCCTCTTACCTGAAGAAAATGAGAGGCGTTGAAAGAGAAGTTGTTGAGGGTGAGGACAAGCTCGGCCAAGCGGAGGAGGGTGGTGGTGGGTGGGGATGGTTCAGGTCTTTGCTCCAGGAAGAAGCGGAGAGCCCTAAGACCCTCCTGGTGGGGAATGGATGTGTAAAGGCTTTGCACATCCATGGTAAAGAGGAGGTGGCTGGAGCCGGTAAACTGGAAGTTTTGAAACCGGCGTAAGGCGTCAGATGAATCATGGATATATGTGGGTCGGGATTGGACCAGGGGGGAGAAGACTGAGTCAAGGTAGGAATAGATGAGTTCTGTGGGGCAGGAGCAGGCTGAAACAATGGGTCTGCCTGGACAGTCCTGTTTGTGGATTTTTGGCAGGATGTAGAAACGAGCTGTGTGGGGTTGGGGAACTATTAGCTTGGAAGCGAAGTGGGGGAGATCACCGGATGAAATGAGATCCGTAACCGTAGTGGATACAATGGCCTGATGTGCCATGGTGGGGTCATGGTCCAGGGGAAGGTAGGAGGAGGTACCCAAGAGCTGGCACTCTAGCCTCTGCAAGGTAGAGGTCAGTACGCCAGACTACAACAGCACCACCCTTATCGGCAGGCTTGATGACAAAGTCAGGGTTAGATCTGAGTGCATGGAGTGCAGTCAGTTTGGAGGGAGATAGTTTGGATTTGTTGAGGGGGCAGAGAAATTGAGGCGATTAATGTCACGTCGACAGTTCTAATGAAAAGATCGAGTGCAGGTAAAAGGCCGGAGGGAGGGGTCCAGGTGGAAGGAGAGTGTTGGAGTTGGGCAAAGGGGTCTGTGGGACGGGGAGTGGACTCTTGTCCAAAGAAATGAGCACGCAGGCAAAGACGACGGAAGAAGAGTTCGGCATCATGTCGTGCCCGAAATTCGTTAAGGTGGGGACGGAGAAGTTTCTGATCAGTACATATAATGACTCAATCAGTTTAGTTTCTGGTCAATGGTAACTCCATGATGTTATTAGTCAGAATTCAATGATGGTGATGCCATTGAATGTCTCAAATATTGAATATTTGATTCCAAAACCCTGGTGGTATGTATATACTACAAGTTTACTGTTTATTGCAACATAGGAACCTTTTCAGCCATCAAGTCTCAAATTCAGGTTTTGTTAAAATACTGTATCCAATATATATCGTGTCATGAACATGGATCAGAACCCCAAAATTGAATATTTTTTTAAACATGTGTTCTCAAAATGTTTTTGTAAAAGAGAATTGATACATCTGCAGCTACTTTTGGCTGTAAGTAAATGGCTCTCTAGAGATTCAAGACGTGTCACACCTGAGGATGTAACTTGGAATCGTGCAGCAAATAACTCACCATCCATCTCCCCAAAGTGAGAAGAGGTAAGTCAAAACTGACTGCATGGAGAGCTCATGACTACATAAGTAACAAGGGACTGACAATTCCCTGCTCAACACTATGCCACCCAGAGTGGATTATGTCCAAAATGCAGATGCACATGGGTTTTTCCCTTTGAGGAATACACAAGGACAGGGGTTAAAAATCCTGCGTCAAGTCAATTCTTGTGTGCTAGTAGGACTAAATGTTGTGTGTGTCAGTGAGCCAAGAATCCACCATGCACTACACTGGGTTCCAGTGTTAGTGTGCTGTGAAGATCACAGTCCATGAACTATAATCTCGTCCCCCCTATGCCGCTATCAGAAATCAGCTCGCCAGCAAGCCAGACAGACAAAAGGAAACAGGATAGCAATAGGACCCTCTCATTTAATGCTGGAACTCAATCATGATCAAAAGGTAACAGAACAACAATCTCAATGAACTGCAAAACTAAAGAATTTTAAAGCCAACTGTTCACCTACCAACACCACGTGACTGATTAGCCACAAAGTTCAACCATCTGTTCTTTGTGAACAATTCAGAGACTGCTCCGTATATTTTTATTTTTAAGCTTTCTTTTTGTACTTCTTATTTCTAATCTTTGTGTTGTGTGTTGCATAGCTAATTCCTGTCAGTTAGTAATTAATAAGCTCACACTTGTGTTAACTCAATCCAGCCACTAGTAAAATTGGCTCCTTTTGAAATACAAGCACATTTGGCTCTGGGAGAAAAGATATCCACATGGGAAGAGATCAGTTTTTAAACATAACCTTGTTGTGACCAATGAAGGGGGTGGATGAACGAAGAAAGGTAACCAGTTCATCTTTCTTCACTCAGGATCTACCAATTGGGGGTATCCTGCTTGCAATCTCAATCAGCATCTGGACATGGTTTTGTTTTTGTTGCTAATGCATTTAGAACTGACATTACATTTGTATCAACTATCCAACATGTATTTTCCATAATTCTCTTAAAAATCCAATTACAGAAAATCAAGCACTCTCTTTTTATGATTCCACATACACAAAATCAATTAAAATCTTAAATGAATTTTCCAACCTTCTGGGGAAGTCGATCTGTTAGCCAGTCAGTGATCAACTCAAGCACATGTCCAACTTTCCCCCACTGACACAGGCAGTCTATCAACACGGAATATTTATTCTCATCAGCTCCTTCATCTAAATTTCTCAGCTTTGACAGGACCCCACAACTGCAAGAAATGATAATGAATGATTAGAAGGTTAAAAGGTTAAAACAGTAAAAAGTAAAAAAGTAATCTCTTTTCCCTTTTTTTGTTCAAGTGATTAAATTTCTAACTCAGCTACAATGCTGGATAATGACTTAATTTCAACCCTTGTTATCATAGCTTAATTTCAAGCACAACACATCCAAAAACTAAGAAACAGCAAAATGTTTTCACCATATTTTGGTTTTAAAAGTTCCAGCAGCAAGAAAGTGAAAGGGTCAACTTCTACTTTGCAATTCTGAAAATTTGTAAGGATAAAATGGTATAAAAGCTCATTCCTCAAGACTTAATTTTATTCTTTGTTCACGAGATTTCAATCACGGACAAGACCAACAGTTACTGTCCATTCTCAAATGTGAGAGCAGCTACAATGTTGTCATCACAATTGGTTCACCATCATGTCGATAGACTGAGCTGTTCAAGTCCTAAAGATCAGAGCAGCAAGTGGTAAAGGAACCAACAAAAGGATGTATGTACACCCAACTTCATCCTCACCAATTTGACTGCTCCAGAGGTATCTATCCATCACGGTAGCTGTAGAAAAAACCCATCATACAGTCCTTGTGGAAGCAAAGTTCCACCTCCACATTGAGGACCTCTAATATTTTACGTGGCATTCATACCATCCTGAATGGATCGGATTTCAAACAGATCTAGCAGCTCAAGACTGGGTCCACAGAGCCTCATGGATGCCATCAGTAGCAGCACAATTCTATCCAATAATATCTGAAACCTCATGATCCAGTACACCTCCCCTTTTCTACAACTATCATTAAGTCAAGGCACCAAACCTAGTAAAAAGAAGATTGCAGGAGGGCATTTAAGGAGCAGTACTAGCCATACCGAAAAACATTGTGGAACTACTTGTAAGCCAAACAGAAAGCAGCAAGTGATAGATATGGCAAAGAAAATCCACAAGTAATGATTAGATCTAAGCTCTGCGATCCTGCTCCATCAAGTCATGAATGAAGGTGGATAGATAAACACTACACTGGAGAAAGGCTCCACAAATTTCTACATACTCAAATGATGGGGGAGCCCAGCATATTGATGCAAAAGAGAAGGGTGTATTGTAAATGCTTCAAATTTCAGCCAGAATATTGAACAGACAATCCATCTTGGCCTCCTGAGATCCCTAACATTATAGATACCAATGTTCAGCCAAATCAATTCACTCCACATAATATCAAGAAATAATTGAAGACACTGGATATGATGCAAAAACCATGGGCCCCAAGCCACTTTCAGCAACGGTACTGAACACTTGCCAAGCTATTCCAGTAGACCTACAACATTGGCATCTACACAACAAGGTGGAAAATTGTCCAGATTTGTCCTGCACATAAAAAGTAGGTCAAATTCAACCCAGTCAATTACTGCCCAAGTCTAGTCTCTATCATCAGTAAGGGGATGGAAAAGGCCATCAACAGTGCTATTGAGCAGTACTTGCTTAGCAATAACCCGCTCACTGATGCTCAGTTTGGTTTAATCAAGGACACTCAGCTCCTGACTTCAACTCAGCCTTGGTTCAAAGAGGGTAGGCAAGAGTGCCTGCCTTGACAGCAAGCCCGCATTTGACAGAGCGTAACATCTAGCTGCCCTAGCAAAATCAGAGTCAATGAGAATAGAGTAAAATTCTCAGATGGTTGGAGTCATACCCAGCACAAAGATGGTCATGATTGTTGGAGATAGTCATTAGCGGATAGGCGATGGCCTAGTGGTATTATCGCTAGACTAATAATCCAGAGATGCAGGCAATGTTTTGGGGACCTAGGTTTGAATCCCGCCATGGCAGATGGTGGAATTTGAATTCAATAACAATCTAGAATTAAAGGTCTAATGATGATTGTGAAACCGTTGCTGACTGTCAGGAAAAACCCATCTGGTTCACTAACGTCCTTCAGGGAAGGAAATCTGCCATCCTTACCTGGTCTGGCCTACATGTGATTCCAGACCCACAGAAATGTGGTTGACTCTTAACTGCCCTCTGTGCATTTAGGGATGGGCAATAAATGCTGGTTTAGCCAGCGACACCCATGTCCCATGAATGAATAAAAAAACTCTGCAGGAGTTCCTTAACGTAATTCTATGCTCAACTATCTTCAACTGCTTAAATAAATGGGAACATCATTACCTGCATATTCCCTTCCAAGCCATTCACCATCTTAACCTGGAATTATATCATTGTTCCTTGACCTTACCTAGGTCAAAATAATGAAACTGCCTTTATAAAGCATTGTGGGTGTACCTACACCAAATGGACAGCACTGGTTCAACAAGGCAGCTCTGCCCATCCCTAGCTTCCTTGAGAACATGGAAGAAAGCCCTCATCTCCTGAATGAAGGAGTATAGCATCAGGATGGTGTGTTGCTTAGAGTAGAAACTGCAGTTGCCATGGTGGTGCCATGCATCTGCTGCCCTCATCCTTTGGGTGATGATGGTTGCAAGTTTGGTGCTGTTGAAAGTGCTTTTGTGTGAGTTGCTACGATGCATCTTGCAGCTAGAATATACTGCTGACAACACAGGCTGACAGTGGAGACGGTGAATGCTGAAGGCAGTGGTTGTGGTGTCAACCACACATCAGGTTGATTTGTGCTTTGTAGATGATGGGTAGGCTTTAGGGTGTATTACTTGTAACACAAGTTCCCAGCCTCTGACCTATTTTTAATAGATACAGAATTTATATGGCTGGTCAATGGTGAACTCCAATATGTTGACAGCAGGGGATCCAGCGATGGGGGAAATGAGGCTAGATTCTCTTTGTTGGAGCAGCTCATTGCTTGTCACCTATCTCCATCAAACGTTACTTTCCACTTATCAGCTCAATCATGAATGTCATCCAGGTCTTGCTGCATAAGATTACCAAAGCACTGAGAAACTGCACCGAATATTACACAGTGTACATCCATACTTCTTACCTAGTGATGGAAGAAAGGTCACAGATGAAGAAGCTGATGATGGTTGCGTCTAAGACACTACCCTGAGGAACTCCTGCACCTATGTCCCAACACAACAGATGATTGATCTCCAACATCTTCCTTAATGCAAGGTATTACTGCAACCAGTACAGACTTTTCCCTATTATTTCCAATTACATCAATAGCTTCTTGATGCCATATACATTTGAATGCTACCTTGATTATCAAAGGCAGTCCTCTAACCTCCACACATAACTGGCAATCTACCCACCACTTTAAAACATTCCTTCCAATCACTACCAGCATGCAGTGCTACAATGAGCACTACATACAAAATTAACTGCAGCAACTTGCCAAGATTTTTCTTTCAACATTCCCAAATCATAGACCTCTGCCTACAAAGGGCAAGGACAACATGCACTTGAGAACATTAAATTTGTAAGGTTATCTCCTATTCACAGACCATCCAGATATAAAAATGTAAAGCTTGTCCTTCATTGTCAATGTCACTCCAAAGTCAATACACTGGAACTCCCTATCTAACAACTGCAGGACCACAGACACCACACGGAAAGTATCTCACTACTGGCTTCTCAACTCTAAAATTTCCAACACTGACAACCCATGAATGATTAAAAAAACATGATAAACAAGTGTATATTGTGGTCAGAACATAATTACAGTATTTGAGAACATAAACTCACATATAAATGCATTTAAAAATACATATTTCAGGATCAGGAACGGTTTGCTCCCACACCACTGAACTCAAAGATAGCTAATAAGCACTAGGTATAAACACATTCGGTCAGGTCACAGCAGTAGGTGTTCAGATAATCAGATAGATAAGTTATTTGTGCATTCTCTCCAGCACCTCAACTTAATCTGTGTTCCTGACAAAGTGTCTCACATATTCAGTTTAATAAACCTTCTCACTTGGATCAGTACAAGTCAGGGAATTTCTTTGAGTCAGAGGGGTCAATTAGTTGACATCAATGTTGTTTAGAGGACATCCCAAAAGCATTTCTGCTATCTTCCTGGTAGTCTCTGGCTGCAGGGCAGAACAGTTACCTCTGCAGTCTGGTGTCAAGTATACAAAGGACATAATTCTCACAGCAGACCTGTTTTGAGTGATTAGTGCATCAATATCAGGTATGTGTTTTGGGAGCGGACACTGTTTTCCATAGAATCCATACAGTGTGGAAACAGGCCAATCGATCCAACAAGATCACACCGACCCTCCAAAGAGCATCACACCCAGACCCATCCCCTACCCTTTCCCTGTAACCCTACATTTCCCATGGCTAACGCACCTAACCTACACATCCCTGAACACTATGGGTAATTTAGCATGGCCAATCCACATAGCTTGCACATCTTTGGACTATGGAAGGAAACCAGAGCACCTGGCAGAAATCCACGCAGACACAGGGAGAACATGCAAACTCTACATGCGCAATTGCCCAAGGGTGGAATCGAACCTGGGTCCCTGATGCCATGAGGCAGCACTGCTAATCACCGAGCCAGCTGTGGTTGGATTGCCTTCCTTGCCATGGGGTTTGGAGAATCCTGCCATGGAACAACTAACGGTACTGCACAGCTTTAAAGCTCCTGTTGCAGGTTATGCAAGCCTCTGGAGCAAATAGTTCAGGGATCACTGTTGCTGACTAAACCATGACTTCAGTATTGGGTTTGAATATCCTGATCCTTAATACTCTAACAATCACTGTATCTACTTAATTTGCAACGCCCTCTATCGCTCATAGTTTAGACATTTAATCATTGGATAAATTTGCCGATTCAAATATTAATATCATCAGAACCCTCAACTTACATTCAGAAATAAAGTTCACATTTCAAACAAAGTATTGTTCTCAGTCATGTAGAATAAAGGGGCTCAATTTACTTCTATCACTATTCAAAATGCAACTTACAATTCATAAAGTGCAACTGACAAAAAAAAGTTTGTCTCCATTCCCCTCCTTTAGTTGAGAGAGTGAATCAATGTCTGACAATAAACTATTTCTTGAAAAATTTATTTCAGGTTCAGGGTATTAATGATTGCCTGATCAATAATGGGAATGTTAATAACGAAACAGAACGTATTTAGCTGTAACTTTACACACAACAATGTACCTGAAGGTAGGAACTGCTGTTGCAGGCATGAAGGAAGCCAAAATCACTAAAGGAACAGTACAGCGGTCATCCTGTCGACATAATAAAAAAAAAATCACGTTTATATCTAACCGACATTCTCAGTTGCGTAATGTAAACAATGTTTCCCTGTTAAACTTATCCCCACTACATGACAACATAAGTAACAACAGTTAAGACCAAAAATTAAAGTCTAAAGCATAATTTAAAATCATTTTAAAGACCATGCACTGAAAATCAAAACGTACTGTAAAAGTTTTAAAATATTCAGGAAGGACGGTTCCAAACTTGGAAATTGTGTAGTTGTTAGCTTCTTCATTTTCATTCAGTGCCTTGTAGATGCTCTTCCATAAAATGACAATAATTTCCAGTAAGCTGGCCATTGTGGCACCATCATTCACAGATAGCACACTGTCCAGCACCTGTGGAAACAAATTCTTTCCTTTAAATTAAGTATGTCTATGTTCCTTCCTCCATACCATGAGCCTTCAAATTCCTTCATCATGTTAACAATTACGCTTTTCTTTAAATATCCAGCATAGAGTTATTGAGTCATACAACATGGAAACAAACCCGAAGTGGAAACAAAAATTGAAACAATTAAAAGAAGGTTTACCTGGAATGAACAGATTGTCTTATGAGGAAAAATTGGATAGAACAGATTTGCATCCACTGGAGTTAAGAAGAGTGAGGTGACTTGATCAAAGCATTCAAGATTCTGAGGAACTTTGATGGGGGGATTTGGAGTGGATGACTCCAGAACTAGGAGTTGGTGTTTACAAACAAGAGATCGCCCATTTAAGACAGAGAAATATCTGAGACAGAGAAACAGAACTAAGAGACTTTGGAACATTCTTCCTCAAATAGGAAGCAAAGCATTAATTTTGAAAAAAATATTATGTCAAAAAGATACACAAGATCTCTTTACACAGTAATGCAAATTAAGGCCAAAGTGTGCGTTTGCTGTTTCTTTCATGAGATAATTATCCAAAAGGGTTTGCAGGACTACGTGGGAAAGTTAGGAAGTGGGACTACGTGAGCTTCTCTTACAAACAGCCAGCACAGACATCATGTGCCAAAAGTCTCCTAAGTTGCACCCATTGTATGGAATAAACAGGTGGCCTAATGGCAATTGTCCTAAAAATCCATCAGGTTCACAAATGTCGTTAGGGGAGGAAATATGCCATCATTACCTGGTCTGGCCGACATGTCAATCCTTAACTGCTCTCTGGGCAATTAGGGATGGTCAATAAAAGCAACACCCATGAATATTTTTTTCAAAAATTCCTGGTTTAACGCAATGATTACGTATGGTTATTTACACTGACATATCTATCAAGTAAAACAAAATCCCTCCAGGCAAGGAGAGCAGAAAAGCAATTGCAATTCCTCCCACTTCCTACAGACAAAGGGGGTGGCCACGGTACCCGCATGGGCCCAAGCTACGCCTGCCTCTTTGTAGGTTACGTGGAACAATCCCTCTTCCGTACCTACACTGGCCCTAAACCCCACCTCTTCCTCCGTTACATTGATGACTGTATCGGCGCTGCCTCGTGCTCCCACGAGGAGCTCGAACAGTTCATCCACTTCACCAACACCTTCCATCCCAACCTTAAGTTCACCTGGACCATCTCTAATACCTCTCTCTCCTTCCTGGACCTCTCTGTCTCCATCTCGGGCAACCACCTAGAAACTGATATCCACTTCAAGCCCACCGACTCCCACAGCTACCTGGAATACACCTTCTCCCACCCACCTTCCTGCAAAAATGCCATCCCCTATTCCCAATTCCTTCGCCTCCGCCGCATCTGCTCCCAGGATGAGGCATTCCACTCCCGTACATCTCAGTTGTCCTCGTTTTTCAAGGACCGCAACTTCCCCCCCCTCAGTGGTCGAGAACACCCTCAACCGTGTCTCCCACATTTCCCACAACTCATCCCTCACACCCCGTCTCCGCAATAACAACCAAAAAAGAATCCGTCTCGTCCTCACGTACCACCCCACCAACCTCCGGATCCAACGCATCATCCTCCGACACTTCCGCCATCTGCAATCCGACCCCACCACCAAAGACATCTTTCCCTCCCCACCCTTATCTGCTTTCCGGAGGGAACACTCTCTTCGTGACTCCCTTGTTCGCTCCACACTCCCCTCCAGCCCCACCACACCCGGCACTTTTCCCTGCAACCGCAGGAAGTGCTACACCTGTCCCCATACCTCCTCCCTCACCCCCATCCCAGGCCCCAAGAAGACTTTCCACATCAAGCAGATGTTCACCTGCACATCTGCCAATGTGGTATACTGCATCCGCTGTACCCGTTGTGGCCTCCACTACTTTGGGGAAACCAAGCGGAGGCTCGGGGGCCGCTTTGCAGAACACCTACGCTTGGTTCGCAATAAACAATTGCGCCTCCCAGTCGCGAACCATTTCAACTCCCCCTCCCATTCCTCAGACGACATGTCCATCCTGGGCCTCCTGCAGTGCCACAACGATGCCACCCGAAGGTTGCAGGAACAGCAACTCATATTCCGCTTGGGAACCCTGCAACCCAATGGTATCAATGTGGATTTCACAAGCTTCAAAATCTCCCCTCCCCCTACCGCATCCCAAAACCAGTCCAGCTCGTCCCCGCCTCCCTAACCTGTTCTTCCTCCCACCTATCCCCTCCTCCCACCTCAAGCCGCACCCCCATCTCCTACCTACTAACCTCATCCCGCCCCCTTGACCCATCCGTCCTCCCTGGACTGACCTATCCCCTCCCTAACTCCCCACCTACACTCACCTTTACTGGCTCCATCCCCGCTCCTTTAACCTGTCTGTTTCCTCTCCACCTATCCTCTCCTCTATCCATCTTCTATCCGCCTCCCCCTCTCTCCCTATTTATTTCAGAACCCCCTTCCCCTCCCCCATTTCTGATGAAGGGTCTAGGCCTGAAACGTCAGCCTTTCTGCTCCTATGATGCTGCTTGGCCTGCTGTGTTCATCCAGCTCTGCACCTTGTTGTCTCAAAGCAATTGACTTCTCCGTTTCCTCAAACATTTGATAACAAGGAAGAAAAATAATTTGTGCATAAGTAAAAGTTATACATTTTTCCCACATCAATGTTATTTCAAAATAAATGACCAAAATCTCGGGTTAAGAAAGACACGCCATCTTCAAGTAGCTACAGAAGACATAAAAGTGGAAAAGATAAAACATGCCAGTTTTTAAAATAAACTGTAGACAAGTTAAGAGGTCAGGAATAAACTTACGCTGCTATTTTCCATTTGGTATTTATCATCCCCACTATCTTCATTTTGCACTTCCCTCGCAATACAAGCATTCAAACATCGACGAATCACAAGCATCAATTTGGCTATTACAATAAAGAAAAGTGCAGTGATGTGGCAAAGAATAATAACCAGCACAAGTTACATATGATTGGCCCAATTTTTGCAGGCAACAGCAAAGTGGTTACATTCAATGCAGATTTCAAAAAGTAAGCTATCACAAATAGCTATTGAAGTTCTGTTTTCTATTTCCCCTTTTGCAATATTTAATTCGTTCGGTTGCGGGAGAAAAGGGAGAGCACATGTACACGTATGATGTCCAGCAAGTGATGTCTTAAATTGACAAAATAGTCAATTACGGTGATAATTTATCAAAGACAGTAAATCAGGAAATAATAAACAGATTTTATTCTGTTGTTACAATTTTATGGAAAGCTATACAATTAGAGGGCTGTACATGAAATATTATAAACTTCAAAATACAATAATTTAAAATTCATGAAATGTTTTAATGGAACAGAGAAATTTAACGTCACAAGTATAGAATTTGTTTTTAATGGCCAGAGAAGTTGCTCAGCAGTAATTATTGCTTAATATGCCATTGAAAATTCAGTTACAACTCATTCAACAAGGCACAACTTTTAATTGGTATTCTTACAATTATAAAAATTGCTGGAAAAACACTCAACAGGTTCAACAGCATCTGTGCAGAGAAAGCAGAGTGGACATTTCGGGTCCAGTGGCCATTCATCAGAACTGATTTTGTTTTTGTTTCTGATTTCCAGCATCCGTAGTTATAGAATCATACAGCATGGAAATAGACCCTTTGGCCCACATCCTCCATGCTGATCAGGTTTCCTAAACTGAACTAGTCCTATTTACCTGCACTTAGCCCATATCTCTCTAAACTTTTCCTATCCATGTACATGTTCAAATGTTTTTTAAATGTTGCAATTATACTTTCTCTACCACTTTCTCTTGCAACTCATTCCATATACACATCACTTCATGTGAAAAAGTTGCCCCTCAGGTCCCTTCTAAACCTTTCCTCTCCCACCTTAAACCTATGCCCCCGTGCCCTCTAGTTTTGGACTCCCCCAGCCTAGGAAAAGACGTTTGCTATTCACCTTAAACCTAAACTGTTCATGATTTTATAATCCTCTACAAGATCGCCCCTCAGCCTCCTACTCTCCAGGGAAAAAATGTCCAGCCTCTCCTTAGAGCTCAAACCCTCAAGTCTCGGTAACATCCTTGTATATCCTTTTTTGCACCCTTTACCACTTAATAATGTCCTTCATATAGTGGGGTGACCAGAACTGTATGCAGCACTCCAAATGTGGCCTATTCAATGTCTTGTACAGCTGTAACATGACAACCCAACTCCTGTACTCCATGCTCTGACTGATGAAGGCATGCATGCTAAAAGCCTTCTTCGCTACTCTATTTACTTGTGACGCCACTGTTAAGGAACTATGTACCCACACCACTAGTTATCTCTGTTCAAAAACACTCCCCAGGGCCATACCATTAACTGTATAAGTCCTGTCCTTGTTTGTCCTACCAAAATACAAACCTCATATCTATCAAAATTAAACGCCATCAGCCATTCCTTGGCCCACTGGCCCAGTTGATCAAGATCCTGTTGTACTCTTCGATAACCTTCGTCACCGTTCACAATTTTGGTGTTATCTGCAAACGTAGCAACCATGCCTCCTGCATTCTCATTCAAATAATTCACATAAACGATCAATACAGGTGGACCCAGCATCAATACTTGTGGCACACCACTAGTCACAAGCCACCAGTCTGAACGACCAACCCTCTAACACCACCCTCTCTGTCTCCTACCTTCAAGCCCAATTGGTTAGCTCTACCTGGATCCCATATGATCGAACTTTACTAATCAATCAGTCTACCATGCAAAATGTTGTCGAAGGCCTTGCTAAAGTCCATGTAGACCATATCTACCTTCTTGGTCACTTCTTCAAAACACTCAAACAAGCTTGACAGGCACAATTTCCCATGTACAAAACCATGCTGACTATCCCTAATTGGTCCTTACCTTTCCAAATGTGCACAGATCTTGTCTCTCAGAATCCCCTCTAACAACTTACCCACCACTGACATCAGGCTCACAGGTCTGTAGTTCTGACTTGCCCTTTCGAAATAATGGCACAACATTATTAACTACCCTCCAATTTTTCAGGACTTCACCTGTGGCTGTTGATGATACACATATCTCTGCTAGGTGCCCCACAATTTCTTCCCAGGCTTCCCACAATTTCCTGGGATACACTTGTGTGACAAAACTATGGCTTTAAGGAGGTGTATTTTGTCCTTTTTTTATTTTATCCTTTTATCCTTTTGTCCATAAATGAAGAGAGCTTGAGACAGAGTGCTAGTTTGAAAACAGCTTGCATTTACCTTGCACTTTCATAACACTCTATTTCACAAAGTGCTTTAGAGCCAATTAAGTACTTTTGAAGTGCGACATCAAAAAATCAGCTAATTTGTGCACAGCAAACTCTCTTAATCAGCAATGTGATAATGACCAGATAGTCTGTTTTTGTGATATTAATTGAGAGTTAAATATTGATCAGACCACCAGGGATAGATGATTTGAAGTTGGGGATTAAGGCAGCTACATGATGTGGGGATTGGATTATGAGGACAGACTGAGTCGACTGGGATTATACTCATTGGAATTCAGAAGAATGAGGGGAGATCTTATAGAAACGTATAAGATTATGAAGGGAACAGATAAGGTGGAGGCAGGGAGGTTGGTTCCACTAGCAGGTGAAACTAGGACTAGGGGGCATAGCCGCAAAATAAAGGGAAGCAGATGTAGGACTGAGGTCAGGAGGAACTTCTTCACCCAAAGGGTTGTGAATCTGTGGAATTCCCTGCCCAGTGAAGCGGTTGAATCTACCTTGCTGAATGTTTTTAAGAACAGTAAAGGAATTAAGGGTTATGGTGAGTGGGCGGGTGAGTGGAGCTGAGTCTCAAAAAGATCAGCCATGATCTTATTAAATGGCGGGGCAGGCTCGAGGGACCAGATGGCCGCCTACTGCTCCTAGGTCTTATGTTCTTATGTTATAACTTCCTTGCTCTTCTTGAAAATAGTACAGTGGGAACTTTTACATCACCTGGGCAGGTGGATGAGGCCTTGGTTCAAGATTCGATCCTAAAGCAGCCCAATATACACAGAATATGTTTAGAGACAAAAAAAACTCCAGATGCTGGAATCCAAGGTAGACAAACAGGAGGCTGGAAGAACACAACAAGCCAGACAGCATCTGGAGGAAAGGAGAAGTCAATATTTCGGGTATTACCTTTATTCAGGTCCTGTTTGTCTACGCACAGAATGTATGTCTGCTTTGCTATCTGTGCTTAAGCCCTGGAGAGGAACTTGAACCCAGAAACCTGAGACTCAAATGAGAACACTGCCAAATGAGTGTTTAAAAAGGAAAAAAGTGTGGAATCAGACATTTCCACTTGTGAAGACTTTGACAATGCATTCTATGGAGAAGGGGGTCATTAACATCAGGATTTCCCATCACTTTTAATTCTAAAATTCATACAGGCAAATTCCTCAAAACATTTAATGTTACTATTTGTTAAACATCAATAAATAGCTCTCTATCATATTTGCCCATGCAAAAGTAACACTGGCTGACATTTCAGTGCAGTCACATTGAAAGTGTCGTTTTTTTTTAGATGAAACATTATATCCATATTCCATCTGCCCCCAGGTGAGCATACAAAGATAAAAAGACACCATTTCAAAAGAGATTCCCCATGTGTACTTAGCAAAATTTGTTCTTCAACCAATATGAGTAAAGCCAACAGTAACTAAGCTTCAGCAAAATAAAACAATCTACATTCATATAGTACCTTTAACATAATAAAGCATTCCAGGGCATTAGAAGGGCTATTAACAAGGAGGACTTGACAGAAGAAAATATTAAAATGAGTGACCGACCAAAAGTGTGGCCCAAGGTTGTTCTAAAAGGAGAAGAGGTAATGATGACAGCAAGATGCAGGAACGGAATTGCAGAGCTGACAGTTAGTGGTGCAAAGAACGTTGGGGATATGCAAAAACCAGAACTGGAATAATACATGGAGGTCTAAAAGGATTTTTTCGGTAGGGCTGTTGAAAGCTCCTAAGATAAAGAGAAACGAGGCCATGGAGTGATTTGAAATTAAAAGATCAGAATTTTAAATATAAGCTAATCAATACAATTCACCTTAAGTTCATAAACACTGTGTAAATGGAAGTTATTCCTTTCTTTAATAAAAATGCCCTTCCTTTCAATACTCAGTAACCAACAGTAAAGAACTTACCAATGTTTGTTGGTGCAGTGTGCTCATGTGCGTACTGATAAAATTTCCTCGCTGCCATGGGATTCATTTGTACAAGCGTGACACATCTTTCACACCATACCTCCTCAGGTTGATTCACGGGAAAGAAGGAGTTAAACAACAGGTTAACAATTCGTCTTGCGACTGGTCGAGAATCAAGTTCCAAGCGAGCCAGAAGATGCTCCATAGGACATACTTTCCAAAACTGCGAAAGATTATGCAAATTCTGTCATTAATAGTGGTCAAATGCTATCACATTTATATAAATAACATCAATTTTCCTACATTGTATTTGATAAATAACAATTAAACATACTAAATACATAATGTATTTTCTGTTCAAATCTCTACAGTGCACGTATGTAGTATATACAAAATAAAACCTGAGAGGAACAAGCATTGCATCCTTTGATTCCAAGGCTGATGATGATCATACTCAGATTACAATAAAGTCACAATAAGTCAAGCCTTAGACGACTTGCAGAGCTTCAGAATAGTAGACGTGGCCCTGATGCAACCCAATTTCACCTACAATTGCAGTCTATGTCAAAATTACTCAATGACACAGCAAACGTGAAAAATGCCTTTATTTTTCCATTTGTTGACATCTTACAATGGTCTGACTCTGTAAAAGACACTGAAAAATGATGGGTGTTTGTTCTGGAAAATGCATACAATCTTCATAGATCATAGAATCCCTACAGTGAGGAAACAGGCCATTCAGCCCAACAAGTCCACACCGCCCCTCCAAAGAGCATCCCACCCAGACCCATTCCCCTATCCCTGCATTTTCGATGTCTAACCCACCTAACCTAAACATCCCTGGGGACTGCACATCTATGGACTGTGGGAGGAAACCAGAGCACCCAGAGGAAACCCACGCGGATGCGGGGAGAATGCACAAACTCCACACGGACAGTTGCCCGAGGGTGGATTTGAACCTAAATCGCTGGTGCTGTGAGGCAGCAGTGCTAACCACTGAGCCTCCATGCCGCCCTACAAATTTTCTTTTTCTGCTTAATGTGCTGTCTTCCGACGAGTGCAATACAGTTCGCCATAATGACAATGCAGTTGAAGATCTTTTTTAATCTGATAAGAAAAAAGAATTCTTACACCACACAGTCAAAAGTGGCACGCAGGGTCAGTGTGCACGAGACTTGAGCAGAGTGAGACAGTGGTCATGTGAATAAACTGTTGGAAATTTGGTTCAAATGTGAATTCATCTGGTACATCATTTCCAAGTTCAGTTTGAGTGTTAAAGTCCACTTCACACAACAGCCTTTAAGCACAGTCAGTTCTGCTATAAAGCGATAGTTGCGTTCCTGTGCAACATCGTGTTACAGAAATAACAGGGCCTATGGGGAAAGTGGGGTGAGGGGCAGGCAAAAAAAAACACTCAAAAGCCTTACACATAGGATAGCATAATTTGAATAAATGTTTAATTCATTTCAAACAATGAAATAAAAATAAATTTAACACTTTACCTTGAAAAAATGTCAAGATAACTTGATTGGGGAGGAGGTTGTACTGTACCTCTCACAGAAAGCACTTCACAGCAAAGCCTGTGAAACAATCATGTGATGTTGGCGCGTACTCCTCTGCACAACAATGGAATTGCATTATAGCCAACACAAGTTCGCATTTCAGAAATAGCGTTCCTCTATTCGTCAATCATGTTACAGCCAATTTGTATTGACGGAACATGCGTTATAGCAGAACTGACTTGTTGGGTCAAATAGATTCATTAAAGGTGGTAGCTGCCTGATCCTGTCAAATAGAATTTAAGCACCTGAATGTGTTGATCACTATAGCTAAAATGTTTCTCTGAGCAGATTCAAATAAGAAAGGGAATTCTTACACTGCATTGTCAGTGCCTATGAAACTTCAGTACAGTGAGATTAAGGCTGACTGGAACTTGGCTCAAAGTGGGAATTCGATGCAAAAGGGGACAAAGGTCGTTTGAACCAAGGTTTACTGCAAGAATCTTTCCAGAGCGAGAGGAAAGTGGGAGAGGATAAAACGTGCAGATCAAGAGGCCAATCTGCAAAGATTGCAGTGACAGAGTGATATCACAAAACTCTGTGACTCGAATGCAGAAAACGAAGTTAATTGCAGAGAACAATTGGTGAATACTCCTAGTCTTTAAAGGACACTGGAAATCTTAAGATCATGTTTTGGTGGCCAGTGATTTTATTCACATTTCTTTTCTCAAAAACAACTTAAATAGAAGATTGACACTGGTGATTTTCTTATTTTATAAAATGGAAATTTCAAATACAATAGTGATGGGAGGATGGGTGATGTGATCCACAGCAAATACATTGGTCCCACGTGTCTGCAGCTTGGGGAACTTCAATTTCAAATTCAAGTTGAGGAACTGTGATCCAAACTGTAGACATCAAAGAAAGGAAAAGTTACTTGGACATTTTGCTCGAGAGGTGGAGACAGCCCTCTCACTAGATAAATGAAAATTGGTCTGTGGTCAGGCAAAGGAGGGTGCAACTGCAGGTGAGAATCCAGAGGGATGCAATTAAGAAGACTCAGACCTTGCATTTGCCTTAAGTTACAAGGTCCTTATAAGCTGTGCAGCCGAAGGTGTCAACTGCAGGATGAGGGAACCAACCATGTTACCTTGATATAAAGTGCAATTCAAGTGAAGTAGGAATGCAGTAATGTTAGGGGGCAGATTAATTAGGGAGCTGGATATCGTTCTGTCCTGGCCTAAGTGATGGCCCAAAGGCTCAGCTGCCTGCCAGTGCCAGGGTAAAGGACAGATTCTTGAGTCTGAGAACAACTTGGACTGGGAGAGAGGGCTCCAGTTGTCATCATCTGCATTGGTACCAATGACATTGAAAGGAGGAGAAGGAAGGTTCTGCTTGAAGATTTTGAACAGTTCAGAGCTAAATTTGAAAGTAAGACTTCCAAGGTAACAATCTCAGTGTATTGTTCAGGTCGTAATCCAAAGTCACATGAGGTAAATAAAGACAAGGGCTTAAATGCTCAGCTCAAAGATTGGGGTGGGTGGAAAAGGTTTCAGTTTGGGGGCAATGGCAACTGTACTAGGGTCGAGGGACCAGCATGCAGGTGAATTGAATGACTAGGGCTATAGAGAGAGCCAGAAGGGGTGTGAAAGAGAAGACAGATGAGAAAATGGAAAATGCAGTCAGAAAGCAAGAGGATATGGCAGCATTAGACAGCAACATGGGACAGGAAGGGACAGTGCACAAACATAGGAAAAAAATGCAGTAAATAGGGAAAAAGGGGTTAAAAAAGAGAAAAAAGAAGTCTTTTTTTCTTGAATGCTTGTAGTATTTGGAACAAAATAAACTAATTAAACACACAATTACAGGTTAAGAGTTTTATCTTATGGTCATTATTGAGATGTGGTTACAAGAAGATCAAAGCGAGTATGTGACTTTTCAAAAGAGCAGGTCGGAAGAAAAGGTTGGTGGGCTGCAATGTTAGCACAGGATGGAAGTACAATACCAAGATATGATCTTTGAGTGGAAGGTGCAACATTCATACAGATGGTGTTAAGAAATAAGAGGATGAACACACTAGTAGGACTAGCCTGCAGGCCCCTAAGCAGCAGCAAAACAATGGGACAAAGAAGAAGTCAGGAGATAATGAGGGCATGCATAGGGACTGCACGGTGGCTCAGTAGTTAGCACTGCTGCCATACAGTGCCAGGGACTCATGTTTGATTTCATTCTTGGGCAACTGTCTGTGTGGAGTTTGAATATTATTCCCGTGTCTGTGCAGATTTCCTCCAGGTGCTCCGGTTTCCTCCCACAGTCCAAAGATGTGCAGGTTCGGTTCACTGACCATGTTAAATTTCCCATAATGTCCAGGGACGTGAAGTTTAGGCAGATTAGCCATGAAATTGCAGAGTTACAGGGAAAGGGCAGGGATTGGGTTGGGTCTAGGTGGAATGCTCTTTGGAGGGTCAGCATGGACTTGATGGGCCGAATGGCCTGTATCCACACTGTAGGGATTCTGTGAAAAGACAGTACATTAACTTTAATCTTCACGTAGATTGGAAAGTCAGGTTGGCAGACACAGCCATGAAGAAGAATTCATCGTGCATTCAGGACAGTTTCCCAAAAGAATATATTGTGGATTCAATTACAGATCAGCTGATGTGCAACAAGACAGATTTAATAAATTATGTCAGACTAAAAAACCCATAGAAAACAGGGACCATATATGATAAAATTTATATGGAGTTAGTGCAAGGAACTTGGATCAGAAACAGAGATAACAACGTGTAGAGCTGGATGAACACAGCAGGCCAAGCAGCATCAGAGGAGCAGGAAAGCTGACATTTCAGGCCTAGACCCTTCTTCAGAAATGGGGGAGGGAAAGGGGGTTCTGAAATAAATAGGGAGAGAAGGGGAGGCTGATAGAAGATGGACAGAGGAGACGATAGGTGGAGAGGAGACACATAGGTCAAAGAGGCGGGGATGGAGCCAGTAAAGGTGAGTGTACGTGGGGAGTTAGGGAGGGGATAGGTCAGTCCAGGGACGACGGACAGGTCAAGGGGGCGGGATGAGGTTAGTAGGTAGGAGATGGGAGTGGGGCTTGAGGTGGGAGGAGGGGATAGGTGGGAGGAAGGACAGGTTAGGGAGGTGGGGACAAGCTGGGCTGGTTTTGGGATGCGGTAGGGGGAGGGGAGATTTTGAAGCTTGTGAAGTCCACATTGATACCATTGGGCTGCAGGGTTCCCAAGTGAAATATGAGGTGCTGTTCCTGCAACCTTCGGGTGGCATCGTTGTGGCACTGCAGGAGGCCCAGGATGGACATGGCGTCTGAGGAATGGGAGGGGGAGTTGAAATGGTTCGCGACTGGGAGGTGCAGTTGTTTAGTGCAAACCGAGCGTAGGTGTCCGCAAAGCGGTCCCCCAGCCTCCGCTTGGTTTCCCCGATGTAGAGGAGGCCACAACAGGAAAAGCGGATACAGTATACCACATTGGCAGATGTGCAGGTGAACATCTGCTTGATGTGGAAAGTCTTCTTGGGACCTGGGATGGGGGTGAGGTGTTGGGACAGGTGTAGCACTTCCTCCGATTGCAGGGAAAAGTGCTGAGTGTGGTGGGGCTGGAGGGGAGTGTGGAGCCGACAAGGGAGTCACGGAGAGAGTGGTCCCTCCGGAATGCAGATAAGGGTGGGGAGGGAAAAATGTCTTTGGTGGTGGGGTCAGATTGCAGATGGCGGAAGTGTCAGAGGATGATGCGTTGGATCTGGAGGTTGGTGGGGTGGTACATGAGGATGAGGGGGATTCTGTTTTGGTTGTTATTGCGGAGACGGGGTGTGAGGGATGAGTTGCGGGAAATGCAGGAGACACGGTCCTACTATCTTTGGGTCAGAAACAAATGTGTTAAATTGAATAAAGCTATTTACAAAGGAATGAGGGCACAGGAAGTTGCAGTGGACTGGGAAAGGAGATGAGTAACAGAGGCCATTGAAGAACAATGGCAGATGTTCAAGAAAATAGTTTATGACTCACAACAAAGACATACGCCAGTGAGAAAGATGGATTTTCAGAAGGGGATAGACCATAGTTAACCAGGGAAGTTAAAGATAGCATCAAATTGAAGGATGAATCATACAATTCAGCAAAGATTAGCAGCAAGCCAGAGGATTGGTTTTTAAAACTTGCCCAACAAAAGATAATGAAAAATACAATAAAGAGGGTGAAAATAAAGTTTGAGGGTAAACTTGCAAGTAATATCAAAACAGACAGCAAAAACTTATTTAAATATGTAGAAAGAGGCTCCAAAGTTAAGAGACCCCTCAGAGAACAACATTAGGGAAATACTAACGGGGAACCAGGAAATGGCAGAGGAGTTGAATAAAAGTTTTGCATCAGTCTTCACAAGACACCAATAGCTTTCCAAACTTACTAAACAATCAAGAGGCAAAAATAGGCAAAAAAAAAATGTAATAACTATCACTAAAGAAAAAGTGCTAGTAAAACTAATGGAGCAAAAAACCACAGGTTCCCTGGACCTGATGGGATGCATCTTAGGATATTGACATAGTGGATGCACTGGTAGCAATGCTCCAAGAACCCAAAGGTTCTGGAACTGTCAGAGAGGATTGGAAAACTGCCAATGAAACACTTTAAAAGGAAAGCAGATAAGAAGAGGTAACTATAGGCCAGTTCGTTCAGTGTCTGTTATTTTGAAAATGTTAAAAGCATTGTAAAGGATGCAATAGCAGAGCATTTAGAAATATGTACAGTGATCAAGCAGAGTCAGCATGGCTTTATGAAGGAAAAGTCATGAGTGACAAATTTATTAGAATTTGTTTGAAGTAATAAGATAAATAGGTAAAGGAGCAGTGGATGTAAAATATTTGAGATTTTCAGAAGATATTTGATAAGGTAACACATGTAAGTCTGGAGGCAGTATACTAGCTTGGATAGAAGATTGGCTCAATCATAGAAGACAGAGTTGGGTAAAGGGGGCATTATCAGGATGGTAACCTGTGGGGTACCACAGGAATATTATTGACTTGGATGAGAAATGTGAATGTACTACAGCCACATCTGCAGATGACACAAAAATAAATGGGAAGGCAAGTAGTGAGGATGACATAAAGAGTCTGTAGCGGGATGTAGGCAAGTTCAGAGAGTGGGCAAGAACTTGGCAGATGGTATATAATGTGGGGAAATGTGAAAGATTACATGTTGGCAGGAAGAATAGAGGAGTTCAATACTACTTAAATGGAGAAAGACTGCAGGAAGTTACAGAACTGAGGGATTTGGAAGTCCTTGTCCAGTAATCACAAAAAGCTACCATACAACAAAAGCCAACGAGGGGTCACTGGACCTGAAACTTTCTCTTTCTCTTTCTCTTCAAAGATGCTGCCAGACCTGTTGAGTTTTTCCAGTAATTTCTATTTGGGATTGCTTGAGGAACAGCCAAGTAGGTTGGGTCTGTAGTAATCAGAGTTTTAGAAGAATGACAAGCAAGCACTTTATTTGAGACGCAAGATTCTCAGAAGGTTTGACAGTGTTGATGTGGAGAGGTTGTTTTGCCTCGTGGGAGAGACTAGAATCATACAGCATAATCTCAAAGTAAGTAGGTGCCCAGCTAGAACAGAGATGAGGTTGAATTTCTTCTGAGAAGACAGTGAATCTGTGGAAGATAAACAGAAATTGCTGAAGAAACTCAGGTCAGGCAGCATCTGTGGAGAGAGAAACAGAGCTTATATTTCTACTCCAGCGACCCCTCTTCAGAAGTGATAGATGTAGGAAAAAGTGATATTTACGTCAATGACAGGGAATCAGTGTGTGTTTGGGAAGAGGAGGAAAGAATGGGAAAGAGAAGCACGGGAGGAGAGGGAGGGGAGAATCAGGGGCAAAGGGGTAGAGAGAGAGCGAGAAACAGCGAGAGAGATATTAAGTCATGACAGTTCCTGGAGTGTGGGAAAAGGATGTTGTCCAGCCTATGAATGTATAAAAGAAGAACTTAATAGTGACTCCTGTAGGCTGCAGAATCCTCAAGCGGAAAATGAAATGCTATTCCTCCAGTTTGCACCAAGTCTCACTAGAGTACGGCAGCAGGCCCGAGACAGAAATGTTTGCAAGGGAACATGGTGGTGTACTGCAGTGTCAGCAACTGGAAGCTCTGGGTCATTTTAAAGGACAGAACATAGATATTCTACAAAGGAGGTATCCAAGCTGTGTTTTGGATTCCCCACTTAGAAAAGACCACAATGTGAATTGCAAGTACAGTAGACTAGATTAAGTGAAGTGCAGGTAAATTGCTACTTCACCCAAGTGTGTCTCAGACTTTGGATAATGAGGAAGGAGGTGGTCACACCTTCTGCGATTGCATGGAAAGGTGCCTTGAGAGTGTGGCGAAGGTATTGGGAGTGGAGAAAGGTGTTCCGGAGGGAACACTCCCTACAGAATTCTGATAAGAGAGGGGAGGTGAATGTGTGTCTGGTAGTGGCATTGTGCTGTAGATGACAGAAATGGCAACTTATGATCTTTTGGAAGCAGAGACTGGCAGGTGGAAGCTGAGGAAGAGGACCATATCGTTATCTGGGTACAGAAGAGAAGGAGTGAGGATAGAAGTGCCGGAAGTTAGTCAGTAACAGCTAAAGATCCCGTAAACCATGGTTTCAAGGTATCCTCAGTTGAGGAATAAGATGGAAACTTTTGACGACTCCTGCGTAAAGGTGGCATCATTAGAACAGATGCGACAGACTAGAGAAACTGGGAGAATAGAAATGGGGGCTTTACAGGATGGAAAATGTAAAAACGTATAGTCCAGATGGGTTTGTAATGGATATCAGTGGCCTGCCAATTCCCAGAAATAGAACCAGAGATGTCAAAGAAGAGAAGAGAGCAGTCAAAGAGATGGACCAGGTGAATAAGAGCAGAGTGGAAATTGGAAGCAAAATTGATAAATTCTTCCAGTTCCAAATAAGGAGCGGAAGCAATGACGACATTGAGGCCATGGAAAAAGAGAGTTGTAGGGAGTGACCTGCATAGGATTGGAACAAGGAATTTCCACATATGGCGCAATGTGGGTACACCCACATCCACATCTTTGAAGAAAGTGAGAGGGGTTAAAAGGGGAAGTTGTTCAAAGTGAGGATGAGCTCAGACAGGAAGAGGCTGGTGGTGGTAGATCGGGACGATTCAGGCTCTCTTTCCAGCAAGAAGGGAGAACCCCAAGACTATCCTGATAGGAGATGGATGGGTAGTCCCTGTCACATCACAGTTCTGTTATATTTTAATAAATTTGTGGAATTCTTTACCACTGAGGGCATAGAGGTTATGCTGTTAAATATATTCAAAGGTTGAGATAGACAGATTTCTAATCAATAAGAGAATCAAATGTTATAGAGAAAAGGCAGGAAAGGGGCGTTGAGGATTATTGGATCAGCCATGATCTCAGTGAATAGACAGAACACACTTCATGGACTGAATGGCCTACATCAGTTCCTATGTCTTATGGTCTTTCTAAATGGATACTCATCTATTTTTATTTACTGTGACTTCTGAACTAAAATGCCGAGATCTGTAATGGCTGTGGTCACTAATTTGTACTAGCAATGGTTTGACTTGAAGCTTATCTGACCTGCATAGTGTTACAATTCAGTCCAATACTAAGAACATAATTGCCATTTAAGTTTCAATTCTTTGGTACAAATGCCTCTGCTTTACAAATTTTCAGACTAAGCGGACAGTTATCACAAAATAGAATGCCCAAAAGAATTATTTAAGCATTACAAAAATCCTCCACTACAAAATTATAGACCATAACTTAGTCCATACTCAACAGTATTGATTAAACACAATTCTATTGAATCATAAAATTCCTGACTTTGGAATGAGCAATATACTACTTTTACAATGCTGTTCGGTAGCCCCGAAGATGAGTAATTATTATTGCTATTTCACATTTGAAGCATTTCACCTTCTTAGTAATCCTACCTTTGCAGCTCTAGCAGCTTTAATTTTCAGCAGCATATCAACAAAGGCTACTCTGACTTTTTCTGAATTGTCATGGAGACTGTTTTTCAGTCCAGGAAGAAGCTGCTCCAACAAAGGATGGCTCATTCTGTTATCCAAAGTAACTGGTAAACACTGTGGAACATAACAATGACACAGAATTTTTTCATATAAAATATTGAGCAATTTGAGATACATTTACATTTGCCAATGTGCCGTTAAAATGGCTGAAATATGAACATTGTACAAATTGTTTAGAAGTTCCACATATAAAAAAAAATCCTGCAACAAGGTAAATTTAGCAATATGCTCCCATGTTACTGAATTTTGAATTTGAAGTCCTGGAACTTCCATGTTTAAATTGTTAATTGGTGCTGCAAGAACCAGGCCCGGAGATTGGTTTGAGTGTCCTAGTTCAGGCAAAAAAGCCAGAGTTTCAAAACTGATGCTCAAGAGGCCCATGTGAAATCAGTCCTCTTGAGGCATCAGGTCAGGAGAGTCAATTAGGCCCTAGGAGGTGGCTGTTCCTAGGGTGACAGTTGGCTAGCAGAGATGTTGGTTCCAGGCTGAAGAAGAGTCTGCGAGAGGTGCAGTTACTTGGATCTTTAAAAGGTTGGAGCATAAGCAAAAGGAAACTGGGAAGAAAATACCATCACATACCTTAAAGACAGAACAGCGAACATCAGCAGAGCTCGTATCAGCAGAGAGCTCACAGAGCACAGTGGTAAGAAGGTCAGTAAGAATAGCAGGGGGAATCATCTCCCAGTATTTTGCAGCAATCCTACACACACCAAGCACACCAGTAGAACGAACCAGAGGTTGAGGATCTTCCAAAAGATTCTACAAAAGGAAAAGAATGAAAACATTGCAAGTTATATTTTTTGTATGTACTAACTGTTTACCACTTATTCTGTGAAGAGATATGGCAATAAAAAATTAACTGCCGTGATTATGCTGTCAACAAGATTTTATTTTAATTGAGGCACATGTTTTCTCCATCTGGATTCCCACATGTCACTTCAACACTTTACACCCATTCACAAATCAAACTATCCTCCATTATAAGTAGCGTAATGAATTATTTTATTTCTATTTCACTCAAGAACTGTGATGAAATGCGTGGGGCATTTGTACAGTCTCCAAAGAAAAAGATGATAATAGAATGAAGCTGCTACTGTAATCAATCATGATTGCAATTTGATATTTAGTAAAGGAAAGCCTATACTGGTTCCATCTAAATAAACCAACTTGTTCAAAAGTACACTTACAAAAATTTCTTCAAATTGCCTTTGAATTTGAACATCTACTTCTTCATTGGCAAGTCCAGGGTCTCTTATTGGAAATGCTTCGATAAAAAGAATTGCAGCATTTGCTCTCACTTCAGAATTTCTGGCCTTCAGAATGAAAGAAAAATAACTTGAGTGAAAGTAAGACATAAAATATTGCAAAAACATGGAAGGTCAGATCCTCTAAAGTATGAAGACCAGAAGCGCACTCAGTTCCCGGCACTAGTCTAAACAAAATTATTAAATCAAAACACAGCCAACTTTGTTTAAACCAGCACCCTCGATAAACCAGCAAAAATATTCCTCAAATACCAGAAGTTTTCTGTATTATTGCGATCCCAGCAATATTCGAGTGGTCAGCGGACAATATGAGTGAGAAGGCTCTCTGGCAGCAAGTTTTATTTCTGGCAAAGTTGCATTATCATTTAAGTGGTTTAAAGAAAGTATATCAATGATATGTACACCTTCTGCATTGCATTTCTATTACTTAGTGTGTGTTCTTCCATTGATTGCATGGACTTTTTGACAAACTAGAATATTTGATCAATTGCTATACTCTTGGTCCCATAGGTGTTGGTTAGTAAAAAGTTTGCTGTAGTCTCCTTCCAGGTGAAGCAACTATTTACTTTTTTCGTCCTAGTCTACTATATTCGCTGCTTGGCAAATGTAGCGTGCTCCATACTGGGATTGCCAAATGCAGACTGTGACTGCTTTACAGAACTCATCCACTTAGTTCACAAACATGACCCCTACTTTCTGTTTACTTGCCATTACGATACACAATCTTGCAAGCATGCTCACATTTCCATCCCAGACCAGCTGCATTGTTCCATAAGCTGAAAGAAAAGCACCTCATCTTCCATATAGGTATTACAATCGTCTGGACTCAATATAGAGATCAGAGATCAAAAAATTCAGACCTTGTGCTCTATCCCAGATTTTGATTTTATTTTGTTCCATTCAAAGTTCATGTCTAGTTTCCGTTTTGTTGTTTCTGATTAGAGTTGACCTGCATGCTGTTATTAACACCTATGACTAACAATCACCTCTGGATCTATGCCTTATGCCTTCCCCACAAACATCACCTCTCCCTTGCCTTTTGTTATGTGACATCCTAGATCTTTGATCTCCTCACCTTCTAACCTATTTCCTGACCTTCCCTTTTATTCCACTTGCACAGTATAAAACACATCACTTTTCCACTTTTTTTTAAAAAATGTGCTCTCGTGGGATGTGAGCATCACCAAATGGCCACATTTACTGACAGTCTCTAGATGCCCTCGAAAAGACATGGTAAGCTGCCTTCTTGAACTCTTGCAATCCACGTGCTGGAAGTTGGACTCACAATGTCATTAGGGAGAGAATTCCAGGATTTTGATCCAGCCACAGTGAAGAAATGGTGATATATTTCCAAGTCAGGATTGAGACTTTCTCAAGAGTGGAACTTGCAGATCATTGTATTCCAATGTATCTGCTACTCCTATCCTTCTAGACGGAAGTGGTCAGGGGCTTGGAAGGCGCTGTCCGAGGATCTTTGGTGAATATTTGCAGTGCATCTTGTAGATAGTACACACTGCTGTTACTGAGTGTGGTGGTGGAGAGAATGGATGCTTGTGCATGTGGTGCCAATCAAGCGGGCTACTTTGTCCTGGATAATGTCAAGCTTCTTGAGTGTTGTTAGAGCTGCGCTTATCCAGGCAAGTGGGGAGTATTCCATCACACTCCCGACTCGTGCCTTGTAGATGGTGGACAAGCTTGGGGGAGTAAGGGCAGGAGTTAATCGCCACACTATTCCCTAGCCTCTGACCTGCTCTCATAGCCACTGTGTTTATGCAGGGGGCCAGTTGAGTTTCTAGTCAATGGTATCCCCCAGGATGTTGACAGTGGGGGACTCAGTGATGTCAAAAGGGGCATTGGTTAGATTGCTGTCTCTTATTGGAGATGGTCATTGCCTGGCATTTGTGTGGTGTGAATGTTACTTGCCACTTGCCAGCCCAAGCCTGGATACTGTCCAGGTCTTGATGCATTTGAACATGGACAGCTTCAGTACCTGAGAAGTCATGAATGGTGCTGAACACGTTTGCTGCTGCACAATCCCCACTTCTGACATTATGGTAGAGGGAAGGTCACTGATGAAGCAGTTGAAGATGGTTGGGCCTAGGACACTACCTTGAGGACCTCCTGCAGGAATGTTCTGGAGTTGAGCTGACGGACAACAACTGCAACCATCTTCCCATGTGCCAGGTATGACTCCAACCAGTGGATAGATGGCCCCTGATTCTCATTGATTTTAGTTTTGCTCGGGATGCTTGATGTCACACTTGGTGTAATTCAATCTTGATGTCAAGTGCTGTCACTCTCACCTCACCTCTGGAATTCAGCTCTTTTGTCAACACTGTAATGAGGTCAGGAGCTGAGTGAACCTGACAAAACCCCAAAATGGGTGGAACTGAGCTGATTATTGCTGAACAGGTGTTGCTTGATAGCGCTGTTGATGACACCTTCCATCAATTTACTGATGATTGACAGTAGGCTGAGGGAGCAGTAATTGGCCAGGTTGGATGGGTGTGTCCAGGACATAACTGGGCAATTTTCCACACATTGTCGGATAGATGCCAGTGTTGTAAATGCACTGGAAGAGCTTAGCTAAGGGAGTGGCAAGTTCTGGAGCACAAGTCTTCAGTACTATTGCCGGAATGTTGTCAGGGCCTGTAGCCTTTGCAGTATCAAGCGCCTCCAACTTTGTCTTTCCACTCAAAAGAAGAGCCAAATTGGATCTGAAACATTAACTCAGCTTCTCTGTCTAGAAATGCTTCCAGACCTGCTGAGTTTTTAATAATATATAAATTTTGTTTGTTAATAATATATAAATATATCTACCTTTCTTCAGGACCTTCCTACTTGTTAGCAACACCCAGCAATTTGGCATTGTACCCTAATTTCTCAGTATTTTTGAAGTTACATTTTCTCCCTCTTTTGGAAGCATTATGGTACTGTCTTTGTGTTAAATCTTAAGCTGTCATAATCAATGGCTCTCATTGATTACCATGAAGAAATTGGTCCAAAAGCATATTGCAATCTATGCTTTGCATTTCCTTGCGTTTAAATCTGAAGTCAGGTCAAGGATTCGCCAAATAAAGTAGCAGTGGTGTCAAGTAGGGTAAAGAATAAACCACATTGAACAATTCACATTAACAAAATTAGGAAGAAAAATCATCCCCCACTTTTAATTAAATTTTACAGGAAGTGAAACAAATGTTGCATATGCATGAAATTATGATAGCAGTTGAATGATAAACATTGGAAAAAATTGAAGTGTGATCTGTTTTTAAAATATTGGAGAATTTTATGTACCACATACATAAAAAATTGGTTTTTGACAGCTCGAGAAGGTTTTCAGTGCTAACAATTAATTCAGCATGCCATTAAATATTTTCCAAGAAAATATTCAGTAAGAAACTGGTTAGTAAAGTCAGATCACATGGGGCCCAAGGGGAGCTAGCCAATTGGATACAAAATTGACTTGATGGTCGGAGACAGAGGGTGGTGTTAGAGGTTTGTTTTTCAGATTGGAGGCCTCTGACCAGCGGTGTGTCGCAAGGATCAGTGCTGGGCCCACTCTTTTTTGTCATTAACACAAATGATTTGGCTGAGAATATAAGAAGCATGGTTAGTAAGTTTGCAGATGACACCAAAATTGGTGGTATAGATAACCAGCTTCACTGTCTGCTAACAGTACAATGGGATCTTGATCAACTGGGCCAATGGGCCAAGGAATGACAGATGGTGTTTAATTTAGATAAAAGGGAGGTGTTGCATTTTGGTAAGGCAAACCAGGGCAGGACTTATACAGTTAATTAGAGGGCCCTGGAGAGTGTTGTCAGAGAGACCTAGAGGTTCAGGAACATAGTTCCTTGAAAGTGACATTACAGGCAGACAGGATAGTGAAGGCGGCATTTGGCACGCTTGCCTTTATTGGTCAGAGCACTGAGTAAAGGAGTTGGGACATCATGTTGTGGCTATATTGGACACTGGTGAGGCCACTTTTGGAGTACCACGTGCAGTGTTGGTTTCCCTGCTATAGGAAGGATATTATTAAATTGGAAAAGTGCAGAAAAGATTTACAAGGATGTTACTGGGCCTGAAGGGTTGGAGTTATAAAGAGAGGCTGGGACATTTTCCCCTGCAAGGTAGGACACTGAGAGGTGGCCTTTATAGAAGTTTATAAAATCATGACAGGCATAGATATGGTGAACAGCAAAGGTCTTTTCCCTAGGCTGGGAGAGTTCAAAACTAAAGGGCATAGGTTTAAGATAAGCGGGGAAAGATTTAAAAGGGACCCAAGGGACAACCTGGTCACAGAAAGGGTGGTGCATGTATAGAATGAACTGCCAGAGGAAGTGACAGGCAGGTACACTTACAACTTTTAAAATACATTTGGACAGGTACATAAATAGGAAAGGTTTAGAGCCAAACACAGGCAAATGGGACTAGTTCAGTTTAGGAAATCTGGTCGGCGTGGACAAGTTGGACCAAAGGGTCTGTTTCCGTGCTGTATGACTCTATGACTCCATGACTCCACAGTAGTAGGGTATAAAGGCATGTTCTCATTAGTTCAGTGATTTCTACTTGATTACAATCTTGAGAAACTTTAACACCACACCACATAGTAAAGTGTAGAATCACTATAAAAGTTCAAATTTTTCAGTTTAGCTGCACATGACGTCAGTTTTAGAAGTACAATAGTGCCAAATGGTGACAGTTTTGCTGCTATTACTACAGCTAGATCTGGACCATTATTTCCATTATGAGGCTGAAGAATTCTCATGAAAACAGAACTCAAGTACGATCAAGGGAATGGTATAATCTCAAATCTATTAATAGCATATTGTATATTGACAATTGTATATTGTATACTGTCCTTCAGGGAAGGAAAGTGTCATCCTTATCCGGTCTGGCTTACATGTGACTCCAGACTCATGCAATGTGGGTGACTCTTAACTGCCCTTTGGGCAATTAGGGATGGGCAATAAATGCTGGCCTAGCTAGTGATGCCCTCATTCCACAAATGAACAAAACAAAGTTAAAAATATTACCGTTTCCTAAAATGTCAGAATATTCTTATTCACCACAACTTTGGAGGAGATGTCGTATTCACGCTTAGTTTAGTTAATGTAATAATGGGCAACACTGTGAATATTTGCAGTTTACTTTGTTTAAATTCACTAACAATTTCATAAAATCATTAAATATCGAAAACAGTCTTCATTTGTTACATTTTTCTTTAAAAATTTCCTCAAATTTCTTTATTCTTATAACCTTCATTAATTTTAATGCCTCTAATTCATTCTAAAAAGCTACAGTAGTACCTTCAGTCCTCTCCATAGAATAGGCTGGTACAAACGATGCAACATTTCATCAACCCCCTGTCGTAGTTTTTGTTGATGGAAGTAACTTAACAACTGCAAAAATAATTTCATAAATTGTTAAGAGCTACAATTTAGGCTTCTCAAAATCTTGATTCATGCTGACAGCAAAACACAAATCTACAATTAGGCCAATCCACAAAAACTGAAAGTCTCTTCAAGAATGCTTCTGAATTCAATCTCTTGCCAATTGTCAAGAGAAACCATAGTGAGCAACACAAGGAAAAGTCACAGCTAGTAACACGAACAACGAAATGCATCTAATGAGAAATAACATGCACTGCAGTACTTTTTACATTGTTAACAAGAGTCTGTAGGTCAAGTGTTGGCACCATGCAGGACAGCGACACAGGATGCCATGAATAAAATGTTAAAATCACCCTTAATTCATCACTCACATCAAGGGACTTATGGCATGCAAAAAGCAAAACAAATGAGAAACATTTATCTCTAGTGTACCAAAGTTTCAACAATGTTTCAACTACAATTTGTAACCATATCAGTAAATAAACCTGTTATAATGCGACAGACTATTAGCAAAAAATCTTTTTCATAAACCGAACATTACTTAAAATTGCACACACCTCCCGCACTTTCGAATGGACTGGGGAATTCCTTGGAAGGTGAACCCCATGATGCATAACATCCTGGATACAATTATATTCAATGGTCTAGAGAAAGAGGAAAAAATTTCAGGGTTATGCGCACAATCACCTAATTTTCGATTTACTTTGAGTTGATGTAAAATGGAATAATAATACATGATTATTAACATTTTCCCCAAGGGTATTTCCCACATAGCTTTGATTCTAAAATTCAGTTTTAGATTAAAACAATTATTGATAATGTTAATCACATTTTAATATACAAACAAACAAACAATCTGCAACAATGAATGATTGAAATTATTCCAACATAATCTAAGTGTAAGTGAATGCAGTATGCTAAAGTGCATGAACATTAGTTAACAGAAACGGTTATAACAGGTTTGTTTGAAAATAAATATTAAAACAACTTAAAAATAAAAATTGAAGCAGGAACCTGGTCTGCTGAAATTAAGAGATGTTCTACCCACTATTTAAAACTCACTTTTTTTGTTAATGGTTCCACATCTTTGATATCAACAGATTGACCTGACCGAAGGGTCTGTTTCCACGCTGTATGACTCTATGACTCTATGACCTTATCTTCTGTTCAAGTGTGTTTTTAATTGGGAGAACAGTAAAAGAAACTATTACAAGTAATGCTACTATTCCTTCCCCTTCAAGGTTTTAGAATCACATAGTTATAAAGATATACAGCATGGAAACAAACCTGTTGGTCCAAATCACCCATGCCAACTATGCATCCAATATAAATCTAGTCTCATCGACCAGCATTTAGCCCACATCCCTCTAAACCCTTCCAATTCATATACCTATCCAGGTGCCTTTTAAATGTTGTAATCATACCAGCTTTTACCACTTCTGGCAGCTCATTCCATACACGCACCACCCTCTGCGTGAAAAGTTGCCCTTAGGACCCTTTTAAATCTTTCCCATCATCTTAAACGTCTAGTTTTGGACTCTCCCACCCCAGGGAAAAGACCTTGCCTATTTACCCTACCCATGCCCCTCATGATTTCGTAAACCTATATAAGGTTACCCCTCAGCCCCCGACATTCCAGAGAAAATCAGCCTCTCCCTATAGCTCAAACTCTCCAACCCTGGCAACATCCTCATAAATCTTTTCTGAACACTTTCTGGTTTCACAGCATCCTTCCTATAAGAGGGAGAGAATTGCACACAATACTCCAAAAGTGACCTAACCAATGTCCTGTACAGCTGCAAAAAAACCTCCCAACTCCTATACTCAAATGCACTGTCCAATAAAGGTAAGCATACTTGATTCCCGGACCTCTCTATCTCCATCTCTGGTGAACTCCCACCCACAGACTCCAACCTCATCATTCCCCAACCCTGCACCAACTGTTTCTATCTCCTTCCCAAAATCCACAAACCTGACTGCCCCGGCCGACCCACTGTCTCTGCCTGCTCCTGCCCCACTGAACTTATCTCCACTCACCTTGACTTTGTTTCTCCCCCTGGTCCAGGAACTCCCCACCTACATCTGGGACACTACCCACACCCTCCACCTCCTCCAGACTTCCAATTCCCTGGCCCCCAACACCTCATCTTCACTAAGGACATCCAATCCCTATACACTTGTATCCCCCATACAGACGGCTTAAAAGCCCTCTGCTTCTTCCTCTCCCTCAGGCGCAACCACTCCCCCTCCACCGAGACCCTCATCTGCTTAATTGAACTCGTCCTTACTCTTAACTTCTCCTTTAACTCCTCCCACTTCCTACAGACTAAAGGGGTGGCCACGGGCACCTGCATGGGAAGCTATGCCTCCCTCTTTGTAGGATACATGGAACAGTCCCTTTTCCGCTGTTACACTGGCACTATCCCCCACTTCTTCCTCCGCTACATTGATGATTGTATCTGCGCTGCCTTGTGCTCCCACAAAAAGCTTGAACAGTTCATCAAATTTATTAACACCTTTCACCCCAACGTCAAATTCACCTGGACCATCTCTGACACCTCCCTCTCCTTCCTAGACCTCTCTGTCTCCATCTCTGGTCACCACCTCAAAACTGAGATCTATTTCAAGCCCACCGACTCCCACAGCTACCTGGACTACATCTCCTCTCACCCACAATCCTGCAAGAATGTGATCCCCTACTCCCAATTCCTCTGCCGCGTCAGCTCCCAAGATGGGGCGTTCCACTCCCGCACATCCCAGATGTCCTCCTATTTCAAGGACCGTAACTTCCACCCTCAGTGATCGAAAATGCCCTCAACCGCATCTCTTGCGTTTCCCGCACTTCTGCCCTCACATCCCCTTCCCCAACAAAAGTAAAGACAGAATCCCCCTTATTCTCACATATCATCCCACCAATATCGCATCTAATGTATGGTTCTTCATCACTTCCACCACCTACAATCCAACCCACAACCAAAAAGATATTTCTCTCCCCGCCCCTAACTGCCTTTTATAGGGACCGCTCTCTCCGCGACTGCCTCATCTGCTCCACACTCCCCACAAACCCCACCACCCCGCCGGCACCTTTCCCTGCAATCGCAGCAAGTGCTACACCTGCTCCTACACCTCCCCCCTCACCTCCATTCAAGGCACAAAACAAACCTTCCATATTAGACCTGTACATCTGTCAACTTGGTCTACTGTATCTGCTGCTCCCGATGTGGCCTCCTCTACATCGGTAAGACCAAGTGTAGACTCGGAGACCACTTCGTAAAGCCTCTGCGCTCTGTACGTGACAAATATTTTAACTCCCCGTCCCACTCCCTGGGCGACATGTCCATCCTGGGCCTCCTCCAGTGTCACAATAACACCCCCCACAAACTGGAGGAGCAGCACCTCATATTCTGCCTCAGGAGCCTACAACCTGATGGCCTAAACATGGAATTCACCAGTTTTAAAATTTCCCCACCACTGGCCTCATCCCATGACCAACTCTCCCCTCATCCCTGCCTCCATGACCTGATACAACCTGTCCGTCTTCTCTCCCACACATTCGCCCCTCCCATTTCCACTGACCAAATCCCACCACTCCCTACCTGCAATCACTTATCACCATCCCAACTATTTCCCCCAGCCCCACCCCTCCTCTCTCTATTTATTTCTGAAGAAGGGTCCCGACCCGAAACATCAACTTTCCTGCTCCTCTGATGCTGCCTGGCCTGCTCCATACTGTGTTATCTACAAGCATACTAAATACCTTCTTCACAATCCTATTTACCTGTGACTCCACTTTCAAGGAACTATGAGCCTGCACTCCAAGGTCTCTGTTCAGCAACACTCCCTAGAGCCTGACCATTAAGTGTACAAGTCCTGTCTTGATTTGCCTTTTCAAATTGTAGCACCTCACATTTATTTAAATTAAACTCCATCTGCCACTCCTTGGCCCTTTGGCCATTCTGATCAAGATCCCGTTGTGCTGAGGTAACTTTTTTCGCTGTCCATACGCCTCCAATTTTAGTGTCATCTGCAAACTTACTAACCATTCCTCCTATGTTCGCATCCAAATCATTTATGTAAATGACAAAAGGCAGTGGACCCAGCATCAATCCTTGTGGCACACTGCTGGTCACAGGTCTCCAGTCTGAAAAGCAACCCTCCACCACCCTCGGTCTTCTACCTTCGAGCCAGAAGACAGATCTGTATTCAAATAGCTAGTTCTCCCTGCATTCTGTGTGATCTAACCTTGCTAACCAGTCTACCATGAGGAACCTTGTCGAACACCTTACTGCAGTCAAACAAGAACACATACAGCACTCTGCCCTCATTAATCCTTTTCATTAGTTCTTCAAAAAATTCAGTCAAGTTAGTGAGACACGATTTCCCACGCACAAAGCCATGTTGACCATCCCTAATCAGTCCTTGCCTTTCCAAATCTATGTAAATCCTGTCCCTCTGGAATCCCTCTAACAGCTTGCCTACCACCGACGTCAGGCTCACTGGTATATAGTTCCCTGGCTTTTCCTTACCACCTTTCATAAATAGTGGCACAACGTTTGCCAACCTCCAGTCTTCCAGACCTCACCTGTGGCTATCAATGATATAAAATATCTTGGCAAGGGGCCCAGCAACCTATTCCCTCGCTTTTCAGGGTTCTAGGGTACACCTGATCAGATCCCAGGGGTTAATCCACCTTTATGCATTTTAAGACTTTCAGCACCTTCTCCTCTGTAATATGGATATTTTTCAAGATGTCACAATTTATTTCCCCACGTTCTCTATCTTCCATACCCTTCTCCACTGATGCAAAATACTCATTTAGTATCACAACATCTCCTGCAGCTCCACATCTTGGTGGCCTTGCTGATCTTTAAGAGGCCCTATTCTCTCCCTAGTTATCCTTTTGTCCTTAATGTATTTGTAGAATCCCTTTGGATTCTCCTTAACCCTATTTGCCAAAGCTATTTCACATCCCTGTTTTGCCTTCCTGATTTCCCTCTTAAGTATACTCCTGCTGCCTTTAGACTCTTCTAGAGATTCACTCCATCTCTGCTGTCTATACCCGACATAAGTTTCCTTCTTTTTCTTGACCAAAACCTCAATTTCTCTAGTCATCCAGCATTTACTACACCTACCAGCCTTGCCCTTCATCCTAACAGGACCATACTGTCTCTGGACTCTAGTTATCTCATTTTTGAAGGCTTCCCATTTTCCAGCCATCCCTTTACCTGCAAGCATAGGCCCACAATCAACTTTTGAAAGCTCTTGCCGAATACTGTCAAAATTGGCCTTACTCCAATTCAGAATTTCAACTTTTAGATCTAGTCTATCCTTTTCCATCATTATTTTAAAACTAATAGAATTAGGGTCACTAGCCGCAAAATGCTCCCCCGCTGACACCTCAGTCACCATCCCTGCCTTATTTCCCAACAGTAGACCAAGTTTTGCACCTTCTCTAGTAGTAAATCCACATATTGAATCAGAAAATTTTCTTATGCACACTTAAATTCCTCTCCATCCAAGCCCTTAACACTACGGCAGTCTCCGTCTATGTTTGGAAAATTAAAATGCCCTATCATAACCATCCCATTATTCTCACAGATAACTGTGGACCTGCTTACAAATTTGTTTCACAATTTCCCGCTGACCACTGGTGGGTCTATACTACAATGTCAATAAGATGATCATCCCTTTCTTATTTCTTAGTTCCACCCAAACAATTTCCCTGGACATATTTGCACAAATAGCTTCCTTAAGTACAGCAGCAATGTTATCCTCAAACAAAAACACCACTCCCCCTACCTCTCTTGCTCCCCACCTCTATCCTTCTTATAGCATCTATACCCTGGAACATTAGGCTGCAGTGCGTATTCTACTTATCTGCATTGTGAAAGCTGAATACAACTGCACAGAATAAGAGCACGAGTAGGATATCCAGCTCAAGCTAGCTCTGCGATATGAGAATATCATAGCTGATCTGCTTGTAGCCTCAACTCCACATTTCTGTCAACACTATTCCCACAATGATAAACTGCTTACAATCAATCGTATCTCTTAAAAATGTAGAAGCACAAGTAGATCATTCTGGTTATTGAGTCTATCTCACCACTCTGTTAGATCAAATTTTGCTCAACTTTGCTTACTCATCCATATCATGAAATCCTTGCCTAAAAACTTTTACAAATCTGTTGATCCCAAACTTGAGCAATTCCAATTGATCCAAAGATTCCCTCTATTCTGTCTGAAGCACTGCTCCCTGATTTTAGTCCCAAATGACCTAGCTCAGAGTTTGAATGGAGCCTCATTGATATGGAGTTTCTCCATGGAAATAGTTTCTCTGCATCTATACTGTGTTGTAATATCTTTATAGTTCATCAGGGGCATCCTTAGCCATCAATTTACAGCACTTAACAAAGGCTACTAAATTTCCCAAAAAACCCAAACTATTCAAAACCAACAGATTTTGTCTACAAAATACATCAATTCCTTGTTTAAATCTAGCCCAGAGTTTCAAGGAAACAGATGGTACACGAAGATACTTTGATGCAATGAAACAGGACAATTAGAAGATTCAGAAAAGTGGATGAACACAGAACATCTAAAATGTACTTTCTACTTTATATGTCGTCCGTTGATTTGGCCAATGTAATTCATACATTTTCATTTCTAGATGGTTTGACAGAGGAAGAGGTGTTCCTTAGTAATCCTGAATAGGAAAGCACTGACTCTCCAAGATAAACTATTTTCATTTTCAGTCTTATTATCCGACGATTAGGGGAACATGAAATGATGCTCTCTAATTTCTGGGCAATGTTCACATCATCAGCAAAAGGGTGTATACAACAGGACATATTTGGGTTTGCAGATAGCAAGGGTTTGCATGGAAACAGAATATAGAAACATAAGTACAGAGCCGGTTCTTTGGCCCACCATGTCTGTGCCAATTATGATGCCATTCTAAACTAATTCGATCTGCCTGCACATGGTTCATATCCCTCTATTCCTGCCTGTTTATGCTTCTGTCTAAATGCCTCTTGAATTGTGCTTTCATATCTGCTTCTACCACCTCCCTTGCAAGCACATTCTAAGCACCTACCATCGTTTGTGCAAAAAGCTTGCCTCAAACTTTAAACTCTGCCACCCCCTTCATCTTAAACCTATGCCCACTAATATTTGACATTTCCACCCTGGGGAAAAAAACTCCGACTATCCACACCTCTCAATTTTAAAAACTCCCATCAGGTCGCCCCTCAGCCAACAAAAACAATCCAAGTTTGTCCAATCTCTGCTTAGAGCTAATACATTCCAATCCAGAGAACATCTTGGTAAACCTACTTTGCAGCTTCTCCAAAACTTCCACATCCTCTCTACAGAGTGGTGACCAGAACTGCACACAATACTCCAAATGTGGTCTAACAGAAATTTTATGTAGCGGCAACATGACATGCCCTGACTAAAGGCAGCAAGCATGCCAATATGCTGTCTGTACCACCTTATTCACTAGTGCTGCCACTTTCAGGGAGCTATGAACTTGCACCCCAAGATCCCTCTGTAGGTCAATGTTCGTAAGGGTCCGGCCATCAACTGTATATTATTCTCTTGCATTTGACCTCTTAAAAAAAAAAAGCACACATCACCACACACTTGCCTGGATTACACTCAATCTACTATTTCTCCATCCAACTTTCCAACTGATTTTTATCCTGCTGTATCTTTTGACAACCTTCCTTACTATCCACAATTCCATCAATTTTCATGTTGTCTTCAAATTTTGAATCAGATGAGCTACATTTTCATCCAATCACATATATTGCAAACAACAGAGGTCCCAACACTGATTCTTGCAGAACACCACTGGTCAAAAACCTCGAATCAGAAAAACACCCCTCCAAAACCATCTTCTATGACCAAGCCAACTTACTAACTCATCCTGGGTCTCATGTCACTTAACCTTCTGGAGTAGCCTACCAAGTGAGAACTTGTCAAATACTTTACTATGACCACATAGACAACATCCATTATCTTACCCTCAATTATCTTCATTACTTCCTGAAAAAACTCAAATTTGGGAGACGAAATGTCCCCCACACAAAGTCATGTTGATTATCCATGATAAGTCCATTATTTTCCAAATACAAGTAAATCCTGTTCCTAAGAATCTTCTCCAATAATTTCCTTACCACTGATGTAAGGGTCATCAGCCTACAATTTCCTGGATTATCCCTGTTGCCTTTTTTAAACAAAGAAATGACATTGGTTATCTTCTAGTGTTCGGGGCCTCTCCTGTGGCTAAAAAGGATACAAATTTCTCTGTCAAGGCCCCAGCAATCTCCTCCCTTGTCTTCTTCAGTATTCTGGGACAGATTCCATCAGGCCGAGGGGACTAATCTACTTTAATGTTTTTCAAGACACCCAACACCACCACCTTCTTAATATCGACATGCCCTGGAATATCAACACAGCCCTCCCTAATTTTAATATCTTAAAATTAAGATCACTCACCTTCAGAAACATTCCAGATGCCCTTTTCCAAGCTCTAAAATATACCTCAGCTACATAGGTCATGATGGATCTACAGGCAAAAATTCACATGCTCATCATTAAGAGTTAATCATAACAGGAAAAGAACAATATTACAAAATGCAAAGCCTGGAAAGCCCTGATACTTAAGTGTTGATTCAGTGCCTTGGAACTCCAATCAGAGAGCATGACAATCCTGAAATTCACAAGCCATCCAGAATAAAAGCCACATGATAACTGCAGACAGGCAAGTCTCAAAATTGGAATATAGAGAACCACAGATCTAAATACAAAGCTAAGAAAAGGCATATCCCTGGAGAGAAACGATTATGGCTGCACCCCTCTCAGAGAGATTACTAGAGGTGAGAGCGCACATGGTTGTCTGGCCTGAGCAAGAAAGGAGTTATAAAGTATCAAGTTCAGGATAAAGAGATTATAACATCACAAATAATAAAAATAATCTGATCAATTAGCAAAACATAGTATTCCAGCTTAGATTTCTAATACTATCTATAGTTCCGGCATCACATTGGAAAGATGTAATGTAAGATGTGCAGTAGTGGTTCCAAGGATGAGGGACTTTTCAGTTATGGAGATTGAAGAAATTCTAACGTTCAAGTCCATGGGCCAAATACTGGAAAGTGGGATTAGTGTTGATAGATCCAGACAGACAATATGAGGTGAAGGCTCGGTTCTGTGCCGTATGACACTGACTCTAAACTGGGACTGTTATGCTTGGAGAGAACAAAATTAAGAGAAGATCTGATAGAAGTTTTCAAAATGATGAGTGGGATGGAGAGATAGGAGAAACTATTCCTGCTCGTAAAAGAAACAAGAACAAGAGTGCACAGATTTAAAGTGACCCACAAACGATGCAAGGTTGAATTGAGGAAAACATTTTCATTCAGTACTTAGGGTATAAAATGCACTGTCTAGAAGTGTGGTGGAGGGACGTTCAATTGAGACATTCAAGAGGGCAGTGGATGATTATATAGATGAAAATAAAGGTGCAAGGATATTGTAAAAAGCAGTGAAATGGCAATGATGCTTGTTTAACCAGCAAGAGCAGGCACGATGGGCAAATAGCCACCTTTATGCCATAATACTTCTGAGATTGTGATACTTTTTAAACTGATTACCCATCATCCTTAAACTTTAATTCCAAACACTTAAAAAGTAATCTGATAATTGACAAATTATTTAGTTAGATATTCTAAAGGTCAAGTGTTCTTCATATTCTAGAACTGCCTAATTAGAAGATCACTACATAAGTCAAAAGATTCACTCACATTCCTGCATTTAAATTAATTCTCAATGCATGATTTTCTTGCCTTAACCCAATGCCCTAATTACTTTGTTCATACTTAGGAAAGAAGTGCAGCTGGTTCTTAATGGTGTCATGGATCATCTTGATGAATTCTACATCCCAGCTAAACAAAAAACTTAAAAATCGCCTTCCCTGAAAAGAAACAAACAGCAGTGTAAACTCACGATGAAAAAGAAATAAAGACTGCATTTATACAGAGCTTTACACAACCCCCAGATCATCCCAAAGTTTCTTACAACCAAAGTACTTTTGAATAAGAACAAAATAAATGTAGCTGAAGATCTGAAATGAAAACAAGGTGCTGGAAAATCTCAACAGATCCAGTGGCAGCTGTGGAAGTGGACGAGCGTAAACATCGAGCCTAATTAATCTTCTTTGGAGGTGAACAGACATGGGAATGTCATGGGTTTTATGCTTTAGATCGGGGGGATGCTTAAGAAGTTGTAGACATGCTCCCCGAGCCGGTGGGTTTCATCACCCTGCTAGGTAACATCATCGGTGCACTTCCGGTGAAGCTTCGGTGTTCTGTCCCGCGTGCTATTTATATGCCTCAGTTTGCTGGGGTAGTTGGTATTACTTCCGGTTCTGTTTCTCAGCAAATTAGACCCTATGTACAAACCAATGTGTTTGTTGATGGAGTTCCGGTTGGAATGCTAGGCCTCCAGGAATTCCCTGGCATGTCTCTGTTTGGCTTGTGCAATTATGGATGAGTTATTCCAGTCGAATTTGTGTCCCTCATTGTCCGTGTGTAGTGAGACAAATGAGAATTGGTCGCGCCTCTTGGTCACTAGTTGGTGTTCATGTATCTGTATTGTCAGTTTTCTTCCGATCTGGCTTATGTGGTGTTTCTAACAGTCCTTGCGTGGTATTTTGTATGTTATACCGGTTTTGCTGGTTTAGGTACAGCAGCTGCTGTAGGGTGGTTGCTGGTTTGTGGGCTACCCTGATACCAAGGGGTCTGAGTAGTCTTGTGGACATCTCTGACATGTCCTTGATGTATGGTAGGATGATTAGTTAGTCTGGTCATGTCGTATCTTCCTGTTGTGGTCTGTCTTGGAGGTAACTGCTTTTTGGGTATCCATTCCTTTTGAAGACTCCGTTGTAGATGCTCCTGTTCCATTTACATAGTTCTGGGTTGTTGCAATGTGTTGTGGCTCGTTTAAATGGTGTCCTGATGCAGCTCCGTTTGTGGGCATTGGGTGGTTGCTAGTGCAATTGAGTATCTGGTCCGTATGTGTGGTCTTTCTAAACTTGTCTCACTACACACGGACAACGAGGCAGACAAATTCGCCTGGGACAACACATCCATAATCGCACAAGCCTAACAGAGACATGCCAGGGAATTCCTGGAGGCCTGGTATTCCAACCGGAACTCCATCAACAAACACATTGAATTAGACCCTGTGTACAAACCACTGAGAAACGGAACTGGAAGTAATACCAACTACCCCAGCAAACTAAGGCATATAAATAACAAGCTGGACAGAACACAGACGCTTCACTGGAGGGGCACTGACGATGTTACCTAGCAGGGTGACGAGACGTTTGCAACCAAATCCACCGGCTCAGCAAGCATGTCTACAACCTCATCCGCAACCCAAGCTGCAAATCTTCTTGAAAATTTTAAAGGGGAGTTTGTGGCTGGAGTTGGAAGAGTGGGGGAAAAAGACATCAAAATGGAGGACAGTGTTTATGGCTTATTATTATTAGTCAGTTTTCTGCTGAAAGAAATGTGGCAGGCAATTTGCTACTGGTGGTAATCAGTTCTGATGTAAGGTTAATTGATCAGAAACATGAATTGTTTCTCTCCACAGATGCTGCTTCCTCCGGTCAGTTTTTCTACTTTTTTTAAAAATTGCTGTCTGTAGTTTGTGCTGGCATTGGAAGGGGTCCAGACGAGGTTTACAAGAACAATTCCAGGAACGAAGGGCTTATCACATGAAGAATAGTTAGGGACTCTGGGTCTGTACTCAACGGGGTTTAGAAGGATCAGGGGAATCTCATTGAAACTTAAAGAATGCAGAGAGGCCTGAATAGAATGGACATGATGTTTCCATTCGTAGGAGAACCTAGGACCCAAGGGCACAGCCTCAGAATGAAGAGAGTACCCTTTAGAACCAAGATGAGAAGGAATTTCTTCAATGGGAGGGTGTTTAATCTGTGCTGCAGAAGGCTGTGGAGGCCAAGTCAGTGAGTGTATTTAAGACAGAGAGGCTCTTCATTGGTAAAGTCATCAAAGGTTACGGAGAGATGGTAGGAGAATGGGATTGAGAAACATATCAGCCATGATCAAATGGTGGAGCCGACAATATGGGCTGAATGGCCTAATTCTACTCCTGTATCTTATGGTTTATTAAAAGCAAAATACTGCAAATGTCAAGCATCTGAAATCAAGTGCAGAAGCTCAGCAACATTTGTAGAGAAAGAGTTTATGTTTAGAATCCAATGGCCACATAATGGTACCAAAGTAGCAAAAGACTGAACCATCTCCAGAGGGCAACTCCTAGCACTAATGCAGCTTTTGTGCTCGAAACAGTTTTCTTCAAACAGGTGGCCTTTCGGCGTTTGAGCGCACATCTGGAGAACAGTCATCTGAAGGTGTGTTGATCAAATGAAACTTTGGTGGTTGAATAGCCCCTGAAACTGGATGTAGGGTGGGAGGACAGCCTTGATCATGTCAGGGATAACCACAAGAAAAAAGAAAAGGGTGGCCTTTAACACTCTCCAATGAAATTATTGCCACCGTTTCTTGACAAATTAATTCCTTTCCTGTCAGAACTGGTATCAAGCAAGGAATCTGTTTCCGTGCTGTATGACTATGACTATGTACCAAGCACTATTTGGAAAATTAATATAACACAAGCCAAAATATTTAGTAAACTGTACTACTTAAGCAGCTAGTTGGTGCCCCAAACGTGACTGCCTCAGAATTACAGCAAAGCTCTCTTTCAAAGGTATTCTTTATAAAGACATGCTACAAAAAGTCTTCCAGATTGAATATTACAGTGTGTGATATGACATGTTTCAAGCTGAGGTAACTTAATACAATTTCAACACTTCTGATATTCACAGTATACGTTCCATGTCAAGCAGATAGCCGAGGGGTTTCTACAGTTTTCCAGATCTCAGTGTACTATGGCTGAAAGGTTTGGACAGCAACCTTTCCCATTGCACCCATGTAGCAACTGCTCAAAGCATTATTGCATTTCTCAGCATTTTAGTCCTGCACTTTGAAATGTGCCACTTTGTGATACACCATCCAGAACAATGCTTTGCAGTGAACAACCAGCAAATTTCAGGAAAACCAATGAGTGTTTTTCAGTGTTGATGGTCCTCCAGCCACTGTCGACCTTTATCTCATGTTCTTATGAACATGCAGAACAGTGTCAATACAGCTGGTCAGGCTGAACCCCTTCAAAAACCACTGCACCTCTCTCCAAATTTCATTCCTAAAGGCACATTCCAGAAAGTGGACAATGGTCTCTTTCCCAACTTCAAGATAACACATAGATGGGGTGAGACTCCAAGAATGTAGGAAGGATCTGGCAGGGAGGGCCTTTCTTACCATGAGCCAAGCCATTCCTTGATGCCAGCTTACAAGTCCTGATGATCATGCAATCTATGAAGTGGTTTTGCTCAGGGAACCATCCAAAAGAATTTTCCATTTTTTTTTTCTTGAAGGAGCTCAAGGTTGTCATGTCATAGAACTTTTGGTCCATCTTACCATGCTGACCAGATATCCTATATAAATCTAGTCCCATTTGCCAGCATTTGGTTCATATTTCTCTAAACCCTTCCTATTCATATACCTATCCAGATGCCTTTTAAACGTTGTAATCATACCAGCCTCCACCACATCTTCCAGCAGCTCATTCCATACACGCACCACCCTCTGCGTGAAAAAGTTGCCCCTTAGGTCCCTTTTAAATCTTTCTCCTCTCTACCTTAAACCTATATCCTCTAGTTTTGAACTCCCTCACCTCGGGGAAAAGACCTTGTCTATTCAATCTATCCATGCCCCTCGTAATTTAAAAAATGTCTATGAGGTCACCTCTCAGCCTCTGACACTCCAGGGCAAATAGCCTCAGCCTATTCAGTCTCTCCCTATAGATCAAACCCTCCAACCTTGGCAACATCCTCGTAATATTTTTCTGAACCGTTTCAAGTTTCACACATCCTTCCTGTAAGGGGCAGACCAGAATTGCACACAAGTGGCCTAACCAATGTCCTTTACCGCCACAATATGACCTCCCTACTTCCATACTCACCTTCTTCACTATCCTGTCTACCTGCGACTCCACTTTCAGGGAACTATGAACCTGCACTCCAAGGTCTCTTTGCTCAGCAACACTTCACAGGACCTTACCACTAGGTGTGTAAGTACTGCCCTGTTTTGCTTTTCCAAAATGCATCACCTCACATTTATCTAAATTAACTTCCATCTATCACTCCTTGGCCCATTGGCCCATCAGATCAAGACCCTGTTGCACTCCGAGGTAACCTTCTTCGCTGTCGACTACATCTCCAACTTTGGTATCATCTGAAAACTAATGAACCATATCTCCTATGTTCACATCCAAATCATTTATATAAATGACGAAAAGCAATAATGTGTCTTCCTGCAAATATTTTCCACAAGTTTTAGGTGGTATGCCACAGTACAAAAGCTTGAGGTGTTCCACAAAAATGTGGTCAGACACACCCTTCATAACATCGGAAACAGATAGCATCTCAGCAGAGAAATGACCCTTAGTGTTCACATGCCAAGTATTCATGTACAGCTTGATATAGCCACACAAAAGGTGGCCATTAGGATGAAGATAGTGTAGGTAACCTTTTAGCTAAAGGTTTGTCAATCATGGCCCTGCAACTGTAGTCCATCTTCAATTCTTAGATGGAGTGGAAAATGGCACGGATAATCATGACAACTCAGCTGAGCAAAGGACCAGACCTGCATCATGTACTGCAACACAAAAAATGTCTTGTATCTGACAACCAGGTCCTTACACAAAACTGAGGAGCAGCATTGTTTTCAGATGCCTAACTTCTGTTTTGTTTTGAAATTGCTACTTCTCCTACTTGTTCCTACTGCATGCCTCGGTCCCTCTGAACCACAATCCAATCACCATCAAGGAGGGCATCCTGGTAGTGATCAGGACAAAGGATCAGCCAGGTCAGTTGTAAATGAATATGGCCTCACTTGTGCCAGAATTTACCTTGGACGTGTCTCAGCAATTCAATTGGTCACAGTTCTCATCTAGAAAGAGATATGAAGTTAAAGCTTCGCTTCTTGTACTTATAATACTAAAACACAAGAAAACTAACTTTAGAAAAGGACAACAATCTGTGTACCAAACACATCATCCCTCCCGGTCAGAATTTCACAAGGAGAGGTCCATCCATGACCCTCTGGTCCACCCCTCTGTCACACCTAACACTTCCACATGCATTGCAAACATCCCTCCCACCCCAAACTCCACACATACCACCTTCCCATATAATCATAGGGGGTGTAAAGCTTTCCCTTTTACCTCTTCCTTTTTCTCTCTCTAAAAGGCCCAATACACCTTTCAATATATACTGATTTTGCTACTTACAATGTAGTTTCCTCTACATTGGAAAGAACAAAGACAGATTAACTGCTTTGTGGAACACCTCTGGTCTAGAAGTAAGAATAATCCAAACCTTTCAGTTACTTGCCATTTCAATATACGGTCTTGATCTCATGATATTACTTCCATCCTAAACAAAAAACAAGAGTTGCTAGAAAAGCTCAGCATGTCTGACAGCATCTGTGAAGAGAAATCCGTTGAGGAAGGATTCTCTTGGTTTCCATCCTAGGCTTGCTGCAACGTTCTAGCAAAGCTCAACACAAGCTAAAGGAACAGCAGCTCATTTTCTGCTGAGATAATTTACAGCCTTCAAGACTCAACATTGAGTTCAACAACATCAAAGCATGAACACTGTCCTCTATTTTGCTTTCACCCCATTTCCCCCTCCAATATCTTGATGGCACGGGTTTACTCTCAGGGGAGTTGCCATATTCTACTATTCACACCTATCATTAGCACCTATTTTACATCTAGATCTCTTTTATTACAATTAGCATTCCCGTTTGTCTTTTGTTCTGAGCACCCTCACTATCTGTTTCACTTTCTCCCCCTTTGTCAACAACATAAAAAACATCATTTTCTAGCCCCTTCAGTTCTGAAGAACAGTCACTGGATTGGAAACTAACTCTCTTTCTCAGTGCACAGATAAAACCAGACCTGCTAAGTTTCTCCAACACCTTCTGTTTTTATTTCAGATCTTCAGTATCCACAATATTTTACTTTTATTGTTGCAGACAGAGTGCTTGGTCAATGGTACATTAAGTCTTTTATCCAAAAAAAAGTCTTAAAATGTGAGGTCCTGTCATATCATTCTTTCAATTATTATCAAAGGCAAGATATCTACCTTTGAACAATGGCCACTACTCTGTATGACTCACAAACCATTTAAAATTGTTTACTTAATCAAAACCATACATAAATTTTGCAGATGAGTTCTATGCAGAACCTTTAAGAATTAAAACAGCTATTATTGTGAGATGAAAATTAGATGATCAGTGTAATGGGTCTCAGATGACTAAACCACAAGATTAAAACGTGGCAGAATTTATGATTAGAATGGATGAATACACATTGGACAGTAGCCGTCATAAACTGAGGTTGGTCAATAATAAGTGCCAGGCAGCAGCACTCCTGTTAGAGAGGAAGTACTATGGAATGTATGTATGTTCATTCTTTGATGAGTTAAGGCATGATGTCACACTGTAGGAAGGAAGTGGAGGTTTTGGAGAGAGTTGAAGAGTACAGAAGAGGTTTACAAGAATACTGCCTGGATTGGAGTGCATTAGCTATACGGAGAGGTTGAACGAACTCGGACTGTTTTTGTTCGAGTATCAAAGGCTTAGGGGCAACCTAATGGAAGTACATAAAATTATTACAGGCACAGATAGGATGAAGAGGTGGAGTTTTTTTTAAACAGACACACAAACAGGCAGGGAATAGAAGGATATGGAACATGTGCAGACTTATGGGATTATTTTAGAATGACATCATGGTCAGTACAGACATGGTAGACCAAAGGGCCTGTTCCTGTGCTGTGCTATTCTATGTTCCACAATCTGCATGCCAATGCACAAATACAGTATATAAATAAAGAACAATAAACTATAGTCACATGACATCCATTGGGTTTTGTGGCACTGTCCCTTCCTCTCGGCCAGAAGGGGCATGTTCAAGTCTCACCTGCCACTAAGTTCTGACAAAACATGTCCCAACAGGTTGATTAAAATACTTTTTGTGGACATATAACACCAGGGTTTAAGTGAAAAATAAAGCAGATTGTAGAAATGTAAAGTACAAAACAGAAAATGTTGACAATTCACCGTCTCCAAAGTTACTGTATGACCCTGTGAATCAAACCAGCATTTTCTTTATAAAGAAAGGAATTCAGTCAATTATTCAGAACAATGACTGAAGTATAAATTTCTGTTGTAATATTAAATACACCCAAAGTATTTGCAACAATCAGAAATGAAAACTTATTATTTTCAGATAATTATGCCAGGTGTTCACTGTGCTTTGAAACATATTTTGCTTTAACATATTTGCATTTAAAACACATGAAACACTCACCTCTTCTTTTTTTATGAAGGCAACACTCATGAAACACTGAAGCAAAGTATTTTTCACCTCATTGCTGTCTTCAGACTTGAAATCAAAATTTTGCAAAGCTTGATGGAAGTGCCAGAGTCGAATTATATCAGCATTCTGTGCACAATGAAGTGGAAAGGAAAGTAACTTTATTGGACCGACATCCAAGAATTACAAGAAAAATCAAGAGAAAATAAAGTAATAAT